GGAAATGTTGCCGGTGAAATTCAATTTATACGATTATCGCTGGCATCAAGTGGCCATCAGGTGAGGGTGTACACATATGGGGGTGGGGAGCATGCGGTGCTCGTAAGGATCTGGGAGGAGGATTGGGTGGTGGGTGCCCCACTTCATGCGACGGTGGTGATTGGCAATCTCTGCCTCTGCGTGTGCCGCTGCGTGGGCGAATGGCACTCACTTCGATCTGATGGCCATCGACGTTGACACTTTCGTTTATTTGCATTTTCAATTTATTAGCATAAATGTTTGTGCCATGAAACGCACACTGCCGAACACTTGACACACATGCAAATAGAAGGCAAGCACACAGTTGTGGCAAGGAAAAATGTTCAGCACTGTATGACAGACCTAAAAATCGGACGAAACATACGTTTTTCTTTGAATTTGATTTATATATGGGTCTACAAATTGTCCCTGAAATGTGTAGTCGTTTTATTCGCCTTCTAAGAATATGTGCACAATATGATTCGATTTTAATAGTGGTATTAAAGAAATAGCTGAAACAAGCCGACTAAATCTGCATTGCTATCATCTTGACCGCAACTGTATGCAGACAGCCTGCACATGAATATCGAAGTCCCTTTTTTTGGTTTTTGCTTTTTACTGGCTACAACGACACACAGCCAAATTGACACTCGGTTCAAGTTGGCACCATTTGTCATCGACCGTCGGCACATTTCTCACTGTCACTGTATGGGTACCCACCCATACATGCGTACGCACTTGCTAACAATGCACCAATATGTATCCATTTATTTATAAATATATATAGTTTAATTATTTGCGAGTTTGAGTGAGCTCACTTCAGCATTATTATTTTCATCCACCCTGCAGCATTCAGAACGGCGATTTCATATCGATTTACGTCGATTGCGCGTGGACAAACAGTTTCGTTGTCTCCAAGCGACTTTTCACGCTGCCCGTGGACGCGGATGTGGAAATCGGACGCGGCTTTAATGTGAGTATGGAATCTATACACTATATTTCCCCTAGGAGTCGTATTTCTCGATTTTCATTACTCATAGGCTGGCATCCTCTTTATTTCAATATGGTACATACATTTTTAATCTGTTATTACTTTGAAACAAAAACAAGGCAAAGCCTCTATAAATAAACATAGTACTTTTTTAACCAAAAATCTATGGAAATTGATGGCTTAAATGTATATTTGTTCAAGGGAAAGAATTTAGTAAAAAACGATAAACGTAAACAATTCGACATTCATGCCAATTTTATTGCGAGGCCTGCATGACGCCGATAGCGTATACGCCCCGCTGGCCGTTCACAAATTGAACAATTATTGGCGAATAATTATGAACGTTGTGTGCATTAACTTTCGATGTTCTTTTTTATCGTCGCAGGGTGAGCTGCAGCAACTGCTCGTGCTGCCGGAAAACCAGGAGCGGCTGCAGTGCAGCAACAAGCGCACCTCCATCAACGAGGTGAAGCGCTATATCATCGACACATTCATCGAGGACTACAATGGCAACTGAGGCCAACGCCAATCGACCGAATGCCACTGAATATGCATATATTATGTGGCAGCAAGTCCACAGAAAATCCGATTACAAATTCGGCAAATCAAAACTGCATAGATTTATGATTATTCATTTCATTTGCATACATCTACATACATATGAATAAGGGCAAGAATGTGTGTGCAAGTTTACATACTAATATTACGCATACGCCATGTGATTTATGCGCTAGCAAACAGCGCACTCCACCACAGAACCCATAAACAGTCAGTAAAATACGATTACGGACCCATTATGGATGTCATCATTCGCATTTCTATCCAGGGAATGTGCTCGGTATTTGTAATAATTAAGCTAATTTGACGGAATACAATAATTGTAAACGCAGAAATTAAAACAATTTGCATAGCGAAAGTAAAATGCCAAATTGATAAAGCGGAAAGTAAGATCAAATATAACGCAACTATGTATATGGTAAAACAAAACGTGTATTTTCTTTTGTAGCGGCTGGTTAAACATGAGAGTCCCACCAAAAATTGTTCACTGTCCACACACACACACACACGGGTTTTTGGGCTTAAGTAAGCGAAATTTGAATATGTAAATGAGCTGGAATATTGTGTGGTCAGCGAATTCCGGGAGAGTTGACCAAGCAGCCAGTCCGTACTGTCAGATTGTGGTTTTTGGTGCATTAGAGTGCCCTCCACTAATTTGACAGCGGATCAACTTGTACTTTATGCTGTGCCCGTCTAGTGTTCCTGGCCAAGCTATAGGGTAGTCCCTGAACAGATCCCCGGGCATATAGGAAGCTCCAACTGCAACGACACTTGAATAAAGTTCAACGGCAAAGGCAAAAAAAAGGCAGCCGCTCCAAAATTCATAATTTCCTCTTGGCGGGAAAAGCTCCGACGGTTGGCATCCGCTTAGGCGGTTTGCTTCTGTTTCTGGATCGTAAATAACCTACCCTACCCTAAATAACCTTTATTCACAGCTCCATCGTCTATTCATTTTTGCGAGGTAGTTGTGGGTATATTGCTGAGGGAACTAGATGTACCAAAAGAACGATATAATTGGGTAAAATACTTGAAAACTTTTAACTATTTCAAATCATATTAATTTTCCTATCCGAATGTAAGTCGATCTTTCTTTACATGGTCTCTATAATAGTTCAGCATCCTAATGATATCAGTAGATACCATATATTACCTACGCATAATATGCCCAATAGGTATGATATATTTTTTAGGTAAATTTCTAAGTTGCAACCAATGGATTGGTTTCCTTCAGTCGAGACACTAGTTCATGAGTATATCTTCTATTTGCTTCATTTTTCACCACGTCATTGGTAATTTGAGGCATTGGGTAAAAATGTTGCCGCGCTTGGCAAGTCGAATGCAGGCGACAGCCGGCGGAGACATTGATGAATTTCCTGTCGCATCCTTGGCGCTCGCTGTCTAGCAGGTGGGTCTTTCGCTCGAGGACTTGGGCACCGCCTGGCGACGTCAAATAAACCACCGACTACGACTGCACCAAATAGAAGAGACCAGAACGGAACAGAACAGAACAGAACAGCAACCCATGCCAAGCCAAGCCGTCGCCCATTGTGACTTAATAACTTCTACTCACGTCATCAAGGTGCATTGAACCGCGAAGTGTGGAGCGGGAAGGGTGGAGGATGGGCCACAGGATAACCCTTGCGAAAAATGGATGGTAGCTGCGTTGAATGCGAGTGCAATGGTATCTGAGTTAACTGCGCAAAGACACACACTCGGCATCTGGCTTTTAATTTTGCAAACTATAAAAACCGAAGCATATACATATGTGACACATATTCGAGCTGCATGCAATTAGTTGCAGTTGGCTGCGAAAGCGAACTGGCTAGGTAAATAGAGCACGAGCTCAGTCATTAAGAATTTAATAGTTGTTATCTTTAAATCCAAGCAGGTCTTAAATTCGTTAACTTTTACCTTGATGCACGCGCACATAAATCTCTGACTCGGAACATTTTCGTGCAACATGTTGCACTCGATGTGTGCAACGCAGTGTTCCACAAAATGCAAACGTAAATCTTTTAGACAAGGACCTTTGCTTTCATTTTCTTTGCCCGTTTGAGAACGTTTTAAGCCGAATATGAGATACTTCGGACCAGAGCTAGCACTGCACTTAGGTCAGAGTTGGGGCTACCTTAAGATAGGGTATGAAAGTCACGGGCTAAACGCAAGTAATTCGTTTCAAAGTCGTATAAAGGCGAACAAATACGCCAAAGGCACGCGTGTACAAGTGTAATTTTATTTATTTATGGCTGCTTTAGGGGGAGAAACTTTTCTAGGATTCCGCGACAAACGTTATATTTCTTTTTACTTGTAAGGTTTCTTAAGGCGAACTTTCAATGAAAACGAAAATTACCAAATAAATGGAGCAAAGTGTGCAATTTCAAATGAAAATGTTGAGTTTGTTGTTACTCAAAATACGACAAAAAAAAATAGATTAAAATTCATTTGTTAACAAGATAGCTTTTGGATACTATAAAACTAATTGGTTTTACATAGAAATGTTTTTATTTACGAACGTAAACTTAATGTTGTACTACATTAGAAACTATTTTCGATTAATTCAGCATAGCTTTAAGAATTGGAAACGGAACCGAAATAAAATGGTTCGACCCAACAATGCGACTTGGACAATGCATTTCAGACGTGGCATGTAAAGCCATTCAACTTCACCCCTTCGCAACTGGATGGCCAACAATGGGCGTTCATGGAACATCGCCCACCGTCAATCTGAATCCAGAAAAGGGGAAGACCAAAGGCCATGGCCAGGGGTGCTGGCGAGGATGTGCTCATGGTCTGGCCACAGGATCCGTATAAATGCCTTTATTTGTGTAGGTCAAACAAAATGAACTGTAACAATATTGATACAGCTGGCATCGGAGGTTCGAGCACAAAAGTATTGTGGTGCGACTGCGACTATCCCGCCCCCTGATAAGTCTGCCAACCTGCCGTCCCTTCCCATGGCCAGCTTTTTGTTTCCGCTGTTCATCAAACCGGCCAACGGCTTCATTAACCTAAGCCACAGAAGTTTACCGAAGGATTAACTTGTCTATTGAATGAAAAATAAGTATTTGGTCGAGGCTGCATGCTCCAGAATGTCAGCGTTTCATTTAAATGTATGTTTGCTGCGGTCAAAATAATTGGCTTTAATAGATGCCCATAGATCACAGAATTACGATCAATTTGCAAGCTATTTTAGGTACTTCAGAATATAAATACATATATAAACTGGGTTATGCAGCCTACTACAATCTGTGTACTTGACAAGGAAAAAAGTTTATCCCAAAAATAAGTTTAAGTTTGCAATATTTTAGTTTTCATAGTAAAAGGCTTATTTGAAACTCCCGCCACATCGCAAGGTCCGTCGTCAACTGCAAATGGTGTGACCAGAGGCCACAGTTTTAACAAACAAATTTAAAAATATTTAAAGGGGCAGCTTATCGTACTGGCGGACTGTCCGGGCGTATTATTTCAATAATATATGATTTTGGTTAAATTATACGGCACGGGCTGCTGCACAATGACGGCGGCATGCGGTCCCGGGTCCGCCTTGAATTGGATGCGCCGCTCTGGCCACGGATTCGGTTTGATCCGAGTCACGCGAGTTGGCAGGCCGGCGCGCCAACGCACCACCCACCCCACCACCCACCGCTTCCTTTGCACGAAAACAACAATCGGATTCCGGCAGCAAATGGACCACACAATACCGCCCAAGGAGTTTAAATGGACGCCGGGCAACCTGATCAACGAGCACTTTAAGTTGGGCGACCATGGGCATGTTTGCGTGGTGCTCAACAGGCAGATCCAAGTGCCTGCGCACGTGGTGAAACTGCTGTGGAAGAACGGTAGGTCTGGAGCTGTTATAAAACCAATCTCAGTCGGCTTACGGTTTCCGGTACCTTTTAGCCGCCGTGCGATGTGCTGTCGATGGGGGCTCCAACCACTGGCGTGACTTTGTCGTGGGTCAGGCAATGGCAAAGAAGTCCAATGGCTCAGCGGCCACCACACCACTTGAACCGCTCGACGTGATAACGGGTGACTTTGACTCGATCACTGAGGACACGGTGGATTTCTTCAAGACCACGCCGAAAGTCCATACACCCGACCAGGATGCAACAGATTTCACAAAAGCCATGGCCGTGCTGCAGCCCTTAATGGCGAAGCGTAAAATCCAGGATGTTGTTGTGTTCCATGACACTTCCGGTCGCTTGGACCAGGTCATGGCCAACCTAAACACGCTGTACAAATCGCAAAAGGATAACTGCAATGTCTTCCTTCTAAGCGGCGATTCGGTGACGTGGTTACTTCGGCCGGGAAAGCACACGATACAGGTGCCCATTGACCTAGTCACCAGCCAACGATGGTGCTCCCTCATGCCCGTGGGATCCTCCGCGCACAACGTCACTACCACGGGCCTCAAGTGGAACCTATGTTTGTACACCAAATTAAACTTATCGCCGAATCCTTTAGTAATGCAAGTGCTCTCATTTTCAGATCATGCTCAACTGGAGTTTGGCGGTATGGTAAGCACCTCAAACACCTATTCGACCGAGTTCGTCCAGGTGGAGACGGACGCAAACCTGATTTGGTCTATGGGCGCCTATGAGTTTGAGGATAAGGTGCGACAGGCCGCCAAGACATAGATGGTAATGGATGGTTCTAAGTACTTAAGAGAGGTTTATATTACACCAGTCTACATTGTTGATGACCAAAGCTGCATCCTTTGTTATTGTTTTCTTGCGGGGTTACATCTATAGTGCTATTATTGTTTAACGAAATTAAAGTTATTGTAAAAATTTGTAGTGATAAGTTCTTAAGTTTATTAACTGAAATTTAAGGTGTTAAATTACAATAAGGAACAAAAGCGGACAAACAATTAATAAACTGAAGACATTGCTTATACAGAAATTTGTAACTTTTTAACAACTTCCAAAATCTTTTAGCTTACGTTACTTTCATACGCTCATAAACAATATAGTATTTAAAAACTGTAGTTTCTAAGGCAAATTGTCAAAGGATTTCAAGTTACTTCGATCCTGGCAGTGGCATTAAATCGAAACCAAAGCTGTTTCCTGTTTTCTTGGATTTCCAGCCTGATGATGAGGAAGCCGAACTCTCCGCTCGTTTGGCGCCCGCCCTACCACCTCTACCCCTGGCAGACGTTGTCCTTCTGGCCGCTGGTGATGTAGTACTCGTTTTGTACCTTTTGCTGGCTCCTGACTTGTATACCTTTTTTCTCTTGCCCGCTCTGAACGAGTTGAAACCGCTGGCACCGCTCGTGTTTGAATTGCCCTGAGAGGCAACCGCACTGTCCCAGTCCACGCTTTCGTTGTTCCATCCGGAGGTGCTTGGTTTCTGTTTGGCGGCCGCCTGTTCCTCCTCTTCGTCCAGAACAGCTTGCATCAGAAGCTTCTCCGAGGCATAGTTGCTGGTAATTTCAAGCAGCTTTGCACCGTATTTATCAAAGTTCGCCTTGGTCACGTGCGGAATACTGCACATGTCCTTCTCGGTGAGCGGCAGTGTTTCGGCCATGCTCTTCAGGGCCTGAATGTTCATGATACTAGCCATGGTAACGTTTCGCTGGCTGGCAATGGTTCGGCATAGATCCAATAGATCTGTATAACAGCGCTCGTGAATCTCCCGCATTCCAGACTGCCCATCAGCAGTACTGCTCGTTGCGCCATCAGAAACGCTCCCGACTGCCGCCTTGGATTCCTTGGCATTTTTAGTTATTGCAAATTCGAAGTAGGGCGTGCCCTCCATTAATTTGCTGATGTTGTTGCCCAGATACAAATAGGCCTGCGGAAAATCGTTCGTAAATATTAAGTCCTCCCTCAGGAAGCCATCGATGACCATTTTGCGCAGCAGCCTGTGTACATCGTTTTTATCCCAGTCCTTTAGGACGCCATGATGGGGCGTTTTGTGATGGTTATAGTCAATGATTTTTTTGATCTTCGAACCTTTCAGAACGTCGGCTATATGCAATAGTGTGAAACGGGATCTACCGCTGCACAGATCCTTAACTGCTCGCGCAGCCTTACGAGCATGCTCCAACGCATCTACCGCCCTATAGGCTCGTTTGTTTAGGCAATTATCGCAAGCTGTCTCTTTGTTCGCCAGACACTGTTCGCTGGTAAAGTGCTCCCCGAAGTAGTCCAACTGCTGGGCACGTCGGCAATCTGTGAGGTTTTCACAGTATCCAACAATGCGATATAAATTATCCACATGTATCTTCTTCACGTTGTACTGAAGAGCTTTGTCAGCTAAAATGGGAATGCAAATGATCAATTCATAAACCTAATAAATATCTCTTAACTACTCACAGTCCATCATTTTCTTGATCCTAAGCATGTCCGCATAGTTGTAGTACAAGATGCAATCCGCCACATCACCGTCTCGGCCCGCGCGACCTGCCTCCTGGTAATAACCCTCGATGGACTTGGGTAGCGAGTAATGCAAAACGAATCGGACATCTGGTTTGTCTATGCCCATGCCAAAGGCGATGGTGGCACAGATCACCCTGATCTTTCCGGTCAGCCAGTCCTTTTGCCGACCCTCCCGCTCAGTATCCGTGAGACCAGCATGGTAGGCAACTGCCCGGACGCCATCCTTACACATTCTCTTTGACGTCTCATCGCATTCCTTACGCGAAAGGCAGTAGATTATGCCACTGAAGTGTGCCGGTTTGCTGCGGATGTATCTACTAATGTCGTCCAGCGTCGAGGCCCCCTTTTTGGGGAGTACCCTGTACCGCAGGTTGCTACGGTTAAAACTGGAGAGGAACCACTTGCAGTTCTTCAGATTTAATTGGGCCAGAATATCCAAACGGACGCGAGGCGTGGCTGTGGCTGTTAGGGCAATAGTTGGAACATTTGGAAAACGTTTTTTTAGTACTCCAAGTTTCTTGTAGTCCGGCCTAAAGTCATGACCCCACTGGGAAACGCAATGCGCCTCGTCTATAACGAATCTACTTATATAGTTGTTGGAGTTAAGGGTGTCTAGGGTGTCCTGGAAGCGAGCTGAACTGCTAATTTTCTCAGGCGTCACGTAAAGCAATTTGACCATAGGTGGCTGAGACTCCAAATCCCTGTAGATGGCCATGACATCGGCCATTTTTTGTTCTCCGCTCAGACTCTTCGCACAGATCTGTTCAAGATAAGTTAAGCTAAATATATCTAACGAATTGATATATGGTTCTTATACTCACATCTAAAGAAGCCAGTTTATTGATTTGATCAAAGATCAGCGACTTCAGCGGACTGATAACAATGGTTACTCCCTCGGTCAGAATGGCAGGCAGCTGATAGCATAAAGACTTTCCTCCTCCAGTTGGCATCAGGACAAAGCAATCATTGCCCAGGAGGGTGGCGTTGATCACCTGTAGCTGATTGGGACGGAAACTTTTTAGGCCAAAGCTGTAGCTCAGGCCGTGCATGAGGCGGGTGGAGTGCTCAAATTTTTGGCCATCGAACTCCCCGGTGATGCCGTCATTGTGCACGTTCGCATGGAAATTCCCCGACAGCTTTTGGGAATCTGGAGCGCTGGTCAGCTTGGCAGGTACTGCCAAGGTCTTACTGGTGCTTGGGCCGGCACTTACACTGCTCTTATTGGCAGCAGCCTGGGAATGCATTTGTTCAAACATGGCCTCATCGTACTCGGGAAATCCATCATCATCCAACGAAATATTTATTGGTGTCTCCTTATGCTTCTCCTTTACTTTAACAGCCTCCAACTCCTTATAGCTGTATCCATTGAACTCTGACCTACGGTCCTGCATCTTCTGATGCTCGTCCTCGATTTCAGCCAGCAATCCCTCCAAGTCATCATCGTCATTATCCATCCTGCTTGTTGTGGTCCCCTGTGTGGCTCCATTCATTTGTTCCTCCTGCAGGTCGTCGTCTAGCATCATGCTCTGTGCCAAGTAGTCGTCCGGCTCCTCACAAAGGTCATGAACAAGTTCTTCGCACTTTCGCAACAGGTGCGGATCTTTCTTCTTGCTTGGTGGTGAGAAGTCATCTGGCTCTCCGCAAAGGTCGTGGATGAGCTGCTGGCGTTTCGGAATAGGTTGCATATTGTGTGGCGAGCTGGGTGGTGAGAAATTGTCTGGCTCCCCGCAAAGGTCGTGTAAAAGCTGCTCCCGCTTGGGTATTTTTTCGACCTTACTTTCTTGTACTTTGGAAGAAGATACATTTGTGTTTGATGATGCTAAAACCGTCTGCCGACCCTGCTCCATCCGCATTTCCATTTCCTCCTTCTCAAGGGCTTCCTGTTCCGCTTTTAGCTGGCTTTCTTTCTTATCTAAACTGTTTTGGACAAGCTGTGTCCGTGCCTTAAATTTTTGTCGCATTACCTTGAGCTTAAGAAACGTATTCGGCTGAAAACCTGCTATTTCATTGAAGTGCATGGCGGGAATCTGGTCAATCAGAGAGCAATATTTTTCCATTAGGTCCACATAAGTGTTGCGAAAAAAGCCCAGCGTGCTCTTCAGTGTCTCAGCGCTTTGTTTATTAGGATCGATGCTGAAGTTGTCATTTTGGGCCAAATCCTTTAAGTAATCAGCCAGAGAATTGTCAAAAGCCACACTGTATCTGGGCTTCAATTGTGCCGCTGGTGGTGGAGAGGAGGTGAGACTATTCCTCTCCAGAGAAGCAGGCGCAGGCTTTGTTGGGATAGCATTTTCTTTCGCTGAACCCAGTTTATAACCCTGCTGGACGTTGCCACTTTTCTCTGGAGAATCCTCGAAAAGATTACGATTACTGCCTGTTTTTTTGTATGTATTTGGAGCTAGCGGTGAGTCAAGCAGTGCCGGAATGGTAGCCTTATTCTTAGTAACTTGGCGCTTTATAGAAGGGTCCTTATCCTGAAACGTTTTTGTTTCATTTTGCAACATAGTTTTCTCCGGTTTCTTGACAGACTGCAGGGGAGGGGGCGGCGAATCAGGCAGAGTGAGTAAATGATGTTTACTATCTCCATTCTGCTTGCTTGGAAAGTCCTCAAAGGAGTACCTTTGGAGTGGAGAATCTGTGGTCTCCTCGTTTTGCGACAGTTTCTTTTCCGGAGAATCCGAAAGCCAAACTATTGAAGTTTTTCTCTTATTATGAGGCGGTTTCCGTAGTAATCCCCCAAATGTATTTTCAATAGGAGATTCAAAGAATCCTTGCTGCGCGTGACTACTCTCACTTTGTGTTGGTTTTATGGGCGAATCTCTGTCAGATTTCTTAGCAGGACGTTCAGCTAGTGGCGATTCCGTCAGATCCAGATATGAGTGTTTTTTGAGCCTTGCGGTTCTAGGATCTCTGCTGGACTTCTTGGTGTCAATGGTGTCCTTGCTGGATTGACTGGATATTTCCGTAGATTCATCATCAGATGACGACGCGTCCAGAAAGATGGGATTGTAGATTGTGGAGGGCTTGCTTTTAACGCTTGCGGCTGAAATGCAACTATTAGCATCCTTAATCTGGTCAAAACGATCAAAATACCTCTGCTCTTAGGTTGACTCTGGGAATTGCCATCCAGACCAATGAAGCTGCTAAGTGTGAGCTGTTTTCTTTGAGCGACAGGCTTCTTGGACATCACGACCTGCGATTCAATCAGCAGCCAGCGCTTTACTTTGCATACAACTAGTTAAAAAATTAGTAAGCAAAACAATTGCACACTGTTCTAGACTAAAACCCGCGCAATAATGCCAAGGGAAACAATGCGAATGGGAATTAGTGTGACCGTCGGTCCACCCTACAAATTTGACATAATCGTCTGAGTAACAAAAATACCAATATTTATTTCAACTATATTCAACCCGAAAGTAATGAGATTGAGATTTTAATTTTTAAAATAAGCAAAATTTTAATAAGCTGAAATCACTTTACACGATTGTTATCTGAGATATAATGTGAAAATTGATATATTGCTCAATACCAAAAGAAATGGCTTAAAACGAAATTAGCCAGGAACTAGCCATATGGACAACCACGTCGAACAGCTGAGTAGCGACATGCTTTCTGCTTCCTCTTCTTCTCGTGGTATCCAAACAATTTCCAAACGTGGTAAATAAAAGCGAATATTTTCGGAGCTTGGACGTATACTATTATGCACACGTGAGTATTTTATAAAGCATCGCTTTGGGTCAACAGATTGGAATCCTTAACTTGTTCCGAACATGCGTTTCGAAGGCATAACAACTTTAAAACCCCCTCCGACGAAGACGAACTGGATGATCTGGACGAGGACATGGTGGTCGGTGTCATAGCAGAAATTGAACAGGAGGTGCTGAACGAGTCGGACAGCGACAACGACGAATATGACCTGGTGGAAATGGGTGCTCCAGTGCCGGATAACGATGGCGACAGTAGTTACGATGGCAATGAAAGTATCAGCAGCGACGATAGTTTCGATCCGAATGCAGCAGACTCTGATTCAGATGATTCGATGCTCGATGATGCGGGCGATGATGCATCCGCCGGAGGAGCAACGAGTTCAAAGAGACGCAAGGATGACGATAATCCATCGGGCAGCAACAGGCAATCAGAAGCCACTTTCGACTTGGACGAGGACGACGAAACAGACGAGACTGTACGTGCAATGATAGCCGCTATAAAGAAACCACGGAGTGCTCCTCCAGAGATTAAACTCGAAGACTTTATAACAGATATCTGCTTCCATCCGGATCGCGATATCATCGCTCTAGCCACAATAATCGGGGATGTACATCTGTACGAGTATGACAACGAGGCTAACAAGCTGCTGCGCACTATTGAGGTTCATTCCAAAGCATGTCGTGATGTGGAATTCACAGAGGATGGCCGCTTTTTGCTCACCTGCTCCAAAGACAAATGCGTGATGGTTACCGATATGGAGACGGAGAAGCTGAAAAAGCTATACGAGACGGCCCACGATGATGCCATCAATACGCTGCACGTTCTAAATGAAAATCTCTTTGCCACGGGCGATGATGCAGGCACGGTCAAGCTGTGGGATCTACGTACCAAGAATGCCATTTTCGAGCTGAAAGAGCTGGAAGATCAGATCACTCAGCTGACGACTAACGACCAAAGCAAGTTGCTACTGGCCACCAGTGCCGATGGCTACCTGACTACATTTAATATAGCTGCACGGAAGATGTACGTGCAGTCAGAGCCGTACGAGGAGGAACTGAGCTGCATGGGCATCTATCGCGGTGACTCCAAGCTGGTTGTGGGTACTTCCAAGGGGCGGCTGTATACCTACAACTGGGGACAATTCGGGTACCACTGCGACATGTATCCGGGCATAAAGAGCCCCATTAGTCTAATGATACCCATCACAGACCGGATTGCCTGCGTGGCGGGCGAGGATGGAAACATTCGAGCTTGTCACATCGCTCCGTATCGCAATCTCGGCGTGGTGGGACAGCATAATATGCCCATCGAGTCACTAGACGTGAACTCCAACGGTGAGCTCATCGCATCTTCCTCGCACAACAACGACGTGCGATTCTGGAATGTTAAGTATTTCGAGGATTTTGGGGACATTAAGTACAATGAGAAACACAATGCCTACAAGGAGCAGCGTCACAATCTTCCCTCCTCAAAATGCAGCAATGCATCTGACTTTTTTGCCGACCTGACCAAAGAGGATGCGGATGATGATGATGCGGGCGCTGGACCCAGTAATATGGCCTAGAATGAAATGTTTGCTAGCAATGATTTATAGTAGTGCCCTTTTTCTGGGTCAATTTGAAAGTCTACAAACCTAAAGAATCGCGTATTCTAAGGTTCTGGATTCACAGTTTTAAAAATTCATAATTTATGCAGTAGTGTGTATTCACAGATTCATTGTATTTGAATAGGTTTTCTGTCATAACAATGAAATTGACCCATCCAGACATCAAAGTATAGTGTTGAACTTATAGAACGTCTTTGAAAAATCCCTAAAATGTTGCACGACGATTTTACACAAAGTAGCACATTTAAATTTCGCATTGAACTGTTATTGATAATAGAACTGATTAAGAATAAATCCCAAACAGAAATAAATGTGTACCGAACTTTTATCGGAGCAATAAAAAAAAAACGCAGAAAAGTTTATTGGATTATTTATTGATTTCTGCCGTCTTAGACAACAAACTTTTATAATATAAAACCAACCATTTTAAAATATGTTAGCTCAAGCTTTAAAAATTGCATCGAATCAAATCACTTATATGGCACGTTATGAGATATTGAGCAATAATCGGTAATGTATTAAATTGAACATATGTATTATATATAATTTGGTAATAGAATAAAATATTATTCTCCTTTACATTTTTGTGACTAATCAAAACAACCCAAAATTTGCTAGAGAACGAGGCGAAATCATACAAATTTTAAATCCTTCAAAATATTACGCATTGTGATAAATACATTATCAGGAAAATATAAATTGTCGAATCGATTAAATTAAATTTTAGGTCCGATGTTATATGGTATTTTGTGTGATCATTAAAAATATAACAACAAGCTGGGGTCTAAGTCATCATATACGCCCGTCGTGGGAATTCTATACTATAACAATATACGCATATTTATGAAATTCTTATCACAAGAATTTTGTTTCACAAAACGTAGACAATTTGTACATATGTGTAGGAAATTATTTGCCGAATCACTTAATATACTTAGATATAGAAATTGAGCCAAACCGATTTAGCTTTTTGATATCTTTCAGCGCAACACGGCAGCAAGCTGTGGCAACTGCCTTTTACATGCGTTGCGGTGGGTTAAACATTTTAAGGTTTGTATATGGGGTTATTACGAATATTTCATTCTTTGTTCTTATATCGATGCATGCCGAGAACAAACTCAGTCTGAGGGATTTACATGAAGATGCCGTGGACACAATGTCATAAGGCGGCGGAATTGGCGGCGTCTGTGACTCCACTGGAACTGGGGGCAAGGGCGTCGTTTGGCATGTGGGTTTCGATGTCGACGCGACAAATGGGGCAGTGCTTGTTGGTAACCAGCCACTGATCCACGCAGTCCGTGTGAAATAGATGCATGCACGGCAAGCGGCTGCAATTGTTATTCAATGTAGAGTAATTAATAAATAAAATCCGCATTGAACTCACCGAACTTCGTTCTCTATCTCAAAGAGGGTTAAGCAAATGGCGCACTTCTCGGCATCTTCATCCGACTCGCTGGGTCTTCGTACGCGTCGATATTTGTGTGGTAAGGTATTCCTCTCGATGGTTTCCTGAAATGAAAGTAAAACGATATTAACATAGGTATGTCTTCGATTTGCGTATGGTGGTACCAAAGTAGCTCCCCGGTTTGGACGAGGTGGTCCGATTAGGATACGGGAGCCCAGAGAGAGGGGGGCCAGGCCAATCTCCAGATGTAGCGGCGAGTAGTGGTGGTGGAACATGTGGTGGTGAATTGCCCGCTGTCGCTGCAGGTGCTGCATTACCGGTGGCGATTGCTGCGCCTGCGGCTGCTGTTGAGGCTGAAGCTGCAGGTGTCTCATTCTCGCTTGTGCTGCTCCGCTACTACTAGCACCCTCGGATGTAGCAGTCGACTGTTGTTGCGGAGATGGTGGAGGAGCAGCAGCAGCGGTCGCAGCGTCGTACGGAGGATAGTAGGCGGGATCCAGGCTTGATACGGGTCCGTTCCGAGCATGAACACAACTACAGATGCTATGCAGGTACCCGTTTCGCAGCGTGCTCGTCAAGAGCGGAGCATTCGAAGAAAGATCGATAGGCGTGGGCGTCATGTGGCGACGGTGCATCTCCTGCATGCTTTGCTGACGGTACCACAGATTTTGATGGACCGGGTATGGTGGAGCCGGCGTTAGCGAGGTGGCAACAATAGCGCTGGCCCGGTGAGGGGGATGAATGTGGGCGTGCATCTGGTTCTGTGGTGCCTGGTGGCCTTGGTGTGGCTGCGGCTGATAGTGCTGTCTATTGCTATATGCTGCCTCGGAGCGTCGTACACTAAAAGGCGGAGATCCGCAGTGCGGTATGGTGCTCCGTCCGGAATACATTTCAAGCGGCGGTGGAGGAGAAACACCTGCAACCAGGTTTGCATTCGATGCTACTGCTGGCGCGGGTGGATTAATGGATTGTCGCTGCTGCTGTTGGGAATGTACTATGGCATGTGGAGGTGTCCGGTTGCCTTCCAATGCCGCAGCACGTCCCTCATTATGAGCCTGTGAAAGCAAATCACTGAAAGTTTGTGCTTGTACCGCCGCCGCTGTCGCTGCTACAGCAGCCGCATTTAAAGCTCCGCTCAAAGAACTGCGACTGCTCCCACCTTGACTGGGCTGAAAATGAGGGTGAGGCTGAAGACTGGGTGGGTAGTCCGACTCCACCACAGTTGGCAACGTTGTGATCGCATAATAGTACGGATGGTACCGGTGATATACATTCGCCGGACTACTTCGCCTGTGACGGGATTGCTGCGTTGATGTCTGCTCACTTGAGGAGCTACTTGGAGTGGAGGTAAGATTTCTTTGCTGATGACGTAAATATGCCTCAGTGGAAGAGTTGTCAGGCAACAGGATTGGGGGCATTGGGGGCGGTGGTGGAACCGAGGGATGGCCTGGCATCCACACAGAGGATTCGTTAATTGGAAGGAAGTAGCGTTGAGGATCCATACTGGAGCAGCGGGGCGGGTAAAAATGACCTGCGCTGGGATCCATCAGCTGGTCTAGCTCGTAGCTGTAGTTGTGGTCCGAAATGGCAGCCCGATCAGCCAGAGCGCCACTATAAAATGCGAATGCAGAAGTGCCATCATTATTTGCTTCTGTACGACGATCTGTCCTGCGAGCATAGGGGAATGTGTAAGCACAGTCATACAAGGTCCTCCTCTCTTCACTTGGCTCCTCCGGGTTGGGTTGAGTGTCAGTACGATATGGTTCCCGATCCCTTTCTCGCTCCCGTTCTCTTTCACGACCCCGCTCTCTATCCCTCTGCAGTTGCGTATCATTAGCTAAGCCATCGTCATCTGAAGTCAAATCGATCGAGAGTATGGGTTCACGAGTGGAGTGCACAAATACTACGTCATCATCATCATCGTCCGATGACCAATCATCCAACTGCAAGTCTGGTGCAGTCAAGACTACGGAATCGGCGCGGGTCTCGTGGCTGCCATGCCTTCCCGTGGATGTGGACGGAAGATTGAGATCCACGGCAGGCTGACTCTCCCTCGGCCGGCCGACGTAGGTAATCACACAGGACCCGTTCGAAGTTGGTGTCGAGGAGGGTGGGAACGGCATATGATGTCGCCCAGAGCTGCTCCCTTGCTCCGCATAAGTACGGTGTCGGCTCCTTCCAGGATAGAACGAATTATAATTTGTTGAGGACAGTTTGGACCGCGATCTTCCGGACAGTTCCAAACGTGCATGCTTTCTAGGCGGTACTGCATCGTCAGAGGGATGCGCACGACTCCAGGCCATTCTAGACTCGGGAGGAGCACCGTACATACTGCGCATGGCTTGGCCAGGTGACTGAAGGGGGAGTCGTTCATCGTGAATGATTCCCTCCTCCTGCTGTAGCTGCTCCTGTTCTTGCTCCGAGGTCGTGGACGGTGATCCCGTTGCAGCAGGTCTTTGACCCATGCGAGATCCGTAATCCACGCTACGTGTAGTATGGGTGGCTGTGGAGCAGGAGGCTGCTCTCATGTAGGTACTATCCGGCGGGGCTCCAGCCACAGCGCGACGACTATTGTAGTAGTTGTGATCCGTATGTCCTAGCTCCGCCTCGACGGATCCCCTGCTACCACGGATAATCGTCACTGTGGGCTCAATTGGTGGAGCAGAATTGTGCACACGCAAATCCCAGCCGTCATCGCTGCTCTCGTTTTCCGGCTCCAAAATCCTTGCTTTGCGATAGGAGAAGTGATTAACCTGTCGCCTTCTCGACTGGGCACTCGTGCTCGGCGTGGCATCCGTATCTACCGCGCTGGATGATGCGTTGGAGGCATCACTGGAGCGGTTGGCCTTTTTCTTGTGAGCCTGCACCGCCGACGTAGTCGTCGTGGTATTGGTGGTACGCGTATGGGCAAATTGGCCGTGCTCCGTGTCCGAGGCACTAGATGTCACATCGTCGTAAGCATTTACGACACTTGGAGCCGTTTCGAAGGAGCTATTACTCAGCTGCAGCGAACTAGAGGGCAGCTCGTAAACTACCGCCGCAGAGTCCATGGCATGCTCCTCTATTGCACCGGCAGGCCATGTGCCGCTGACGGACGCAACCGCCACGTCGCCGGCATTCTCACTCTCTGGCTCGAGTGTCAGAGGTTCAGTCTTTTTTCGCTTCGGTCGTGGAATGGCATGAACGGGTGGCGGATTGGCGACCGCCGCTGTGGAGGAGGAGGGCTGCTCCAAGAATTGAGCCTCCGACTGCGACTGGTTCTGTGTGGAGTCGGCATAGCGACTGCTGCTGGCCACCACCGATTCGCAGCGGCAGAGTCCGGCCAGCGAACTGCACTTGTCACACCGCCCGGCCATACCCTCAAATCCAGAGCTCTCTTCGCGACGTGGCGCCACCATGGCGGTGTACGTGGGCGGCGAATGGGTGTGCGTGTGGCTCTGCGAACTGGACAGGAACGGCGTCATTAGCATGTAGCCCTCCGAAAGAGGTTCCCTCTGCTGATTATAGTACATCGCATACTGGGAATCTGCAAGAGGTCAAAAGGATTAGCACTATCTGGTTCCGGATGATGGATAGCTTACGGTTCTCCTGTGCGGCCGAACTGGTGGCCCCACTGCCATACGCCAAGGTGACCCTCGGCTGGTGGCGGAGCTCCTCCTGGTCGTTCTCCAAGCTATCCATCGCAGTCGTCTAGTGGGCAACGTTAACAGAACGGCAAAGGTGTGTTGCGACGCATACAGGCCAAAATACGCTAAAAATATGTATGTGTACGAACAAATGTTTAATTTACGAGTATGAGGACGTATAACTGTCTAACAGAGACCAGTTTGCTTTTTTTTTTTTCCGGAAACAGACAGAAAGACCAGCAGTGGGTTAAATATTTTGGTTCCTGAACTGTTGCCAGCTTTGTACTTGTGCTCCAAGTGGAAATTCGGGGCTGTGAGTTGCATAGTTCTCGAGCGAGTATTTTTTCAATAAGCCCAAAAAACGAGTTTAAGCTCAAAATAAAGTTTGAAAACTACAATTTTTTCTTTGCTTGTCAAATACACACTCTTTTGTTAGCACCAATTTTACGTCGAGTTTTTCATCGCCATTAGCAAACAATACCAAAGCTACGGTGGGAAAACACAAGCGCAGCCGTGAAAAGTGAAAAATAAGGATCGGATTCCATGCACGGGGATGACGGTGTTTTCCACGGAAGCTCTAAATAACTTATTACAACTTATTATTAATTAAGTTCATCAGTTTTTTTCAGTCAACGTAATAGGGATGAGCGCAATATCGATATGCCAGCATATCGATATGTCTAGGCTGATATTAAATTGATGCGTTTATTTTGTATTAAGCTGAATTATTATTTATGAATAGTATTCAGTTTTAAGTATATTACATGTTTCGATACTATTGACTTAATTTTGGGGAAAACTCGAAATCAGCTGTTCGGCTGGGGGTAAACTGTGAACAGCTGTTCAATAATAACAGAGTCCCCAAATAATACTTACCTCTATTATATATTAAGAAATATGCGATCGTTTTATATACATATATGATTTGGGTTCCTTTCTCTATTCTTGAAGACAGGATCACTGTTAACCGGCTGCGGATTTCCGATTGGGCCAAAAAAAAAAAATCGGGGGTTGGCCAACTGGCCAACAGCTGCTATTGGGGAACAAAAGGGAGCTGAAATGCAATTCTCTTCGTGGGGGCGGGGTACTGTTCTCATTCGCAGCAGCTGCCCTGACCAAATTTACAATTTGCAGATGCAAATTTGCGATTTAAATGTTCTCACGACGTTATCATTTTGTCTGTGTAAACCGATTTTATAACATTAACAAAACCGAACTGAAATATTCAGAGAACTTTTTCCTCGACGTTGCAAAAACTTGCAGGTCGCAGGTGGTAGCGATACTATCGCATACAGGCTAGATAGATATTTCGTAGACTAAGGTTTTGCAGAACGGCCACACTGCTAATTACAAATATTTGACACCAAATGAACCGTTAGAAATTTTAATTTCCTTCCATCTATTAGAAAGCTTAATAAAAAAGCCATTCGTCCCAAAATTTTTTTGTGTTTAAATGGTAATTGTCTTAAAACTCTATTAGATTTTGACGTTTTGCTATCACAAACACAGTTTCCTTTAGTTTCATTTCAAGGAAAAATGGGAATCAGCCCACAATGCTGGCCCATTAAGAACAAGACATTTGTTTATTTTTGCCGAGGCATACACAGAAGGCCGAAGAAACCAAGACTGCGATCCCAAGAGTTTCAGTCCCACAATAATTACATAAGTCACTCGTACGCCTTTTTCCACGTGGAAAACGATTCCCGAGCGTTCTTCATTACGATTGGGAGAAGCCGACTTAACCATCTAGATTCATTTCTGGTGGATGAAACAGGTGAATTCATTCGAAATGGGACACCAGTGTACGATTACTACACGGGTTTTGACTGCGTCTACGAAAGGATTCATTTTTTAGAGGGGCTTCTCAAAGAATGCTTGACTGAGCAAAATTCCACGCAAAGGATCAGCACAAATCCCGAATTGATGGTTTTACACTTTCCTGAAACGAAGGCTCCAACCTACCATGATGTGTCCATTGGAAATAGCACCCTTTCCTTGAATTGGGTTATCTGGCTTTTGGGATTAGTTATACTTATTTGCTGCTGCCTGAAATAAACCGATATGCACAACACAAGCCTTAACATTTTATGTACTTTGCGTTTTTATTGAGTTTTTATATGTATAAAACAATATCTACTCTTTCTTTAATTGCTGGCTTTTTATTATTTTCTCTTCGCTTTTTTTTCAATTTTTTCAATTCTGTATAGCAATAATTTTAAAACCAATTCTCTTCATACAAATGTTCCTTGATTAAATCGGTCAGTTATCTGCAGGACTTCCCCCGGATCGTTGGTGTTCACTTCCCGAAAACAGCGCTGACCAGTGTAACGACTTAAGCTTAACCATTGGCTTAACGGACATTTTCTAAGCCAAGGTGCTTTTTGTTTGACTGTAGTTGTATCGGGTTTTAAGCAGCGCTGCTTATAAATTTTAACTCATAGTTATTATTTTTTTTGTTTCGTTGCGAAACATTCCTCACAGTTTTACAAACAAAACGATAGTTTCCACTTCAATACTTCAGTTTCAGTGCAACTTTGATTGCTTCTGTAGGAATCCATAGAATAGTTTAAATTAATTGGACGCTGTCGTTATTATTAGCAAATGTTCAAAATTTTAACCAATCTCAAAACGAAGCTGTTGGCAACTTGTCAGCTGCGTTTTGAGCTAAAATTATGAACAATCATTTATCATTTCATAAATGTCTGCATTTAATTTTTTTTGTTGTCAGTTTGATTTTTCTTTTATTCTGTTTTTGTGTTTTTCGGAAGTTTTTCGTATAAGTTGCTGTTGGTTGGAAAAATAGAAGTATCAGTGTGTATGCACTTGACATTGATTTCGTGGGACGTAAACAAACAAGGATTGTGGAAAATGTTCCTTCTCTGGCGGCCCTATCAGTAGATTGAAGTGGTTGTTGATGGCACAGCGTCATTTGATAGATAGATTTCTTCAGGTGCATTTACATTTACATTTTATATCACAATTTTTTAAATATTATAGGTGTATGTATTTAACAAAATTGGTTTGCATGTTATTCTTTCATTTACGCCCATCAAAAAATGTTGAGCAACTTGCAATGTCAAGGGTTTGTTAGATTTTTGCCCAGTGTAGTTGGCCTTAGTGTGTGTGTGGGTGTCAGTGTATATGAGTGTTGGGGCTTAATTAAATATATGTTTTAATAGTTTTTGAAATAATTAACTGTACACGGGTAAACTATTTCCAAGTAATTGGCATATACACGTACAAAACTTTATATTGCAGATTACCTTGTGTACATGTCAATTTCTTTGAAATAACTTTACCAGCGTTTGATTTTTTAAGTGTAAATTTCGATTCCAACTAATTGTCGAGCCAATCGATATTTTGACAATTTAATTAACTTTTGTAAACTCAACTTATTGTTGCTGCCCGTTTATACTTTCCTATAACAATTTTTGTCATGAGAAATAAAAACATACTATACAAATATTAACAATTTTCATTTGTTGTACATGTTGGTATTTGGACCGGGTGTTCAAAAATTATTATATTGACTCAAGAGGCATGAACGAATTTATAAGAGTACTTATATTTAAGCAATTTCACCAAAACAGAAAAGTCGTAAGGGTTTTATGCATCTCTTGACCAAACACTTTTCGTATTCGTTTTTATTTTTCATAATAAAAAATTATACTGCAATATAAATTACAATTTTTCGAATCTTTTTTATAAAAAAAGGTATTTGTTTTCTGTTGTTTTCATCTCGAACGACTGTTTGGCTTGCTTCAAAACAGCGTAGACAATTGCCACTCTCAATTTCCCTCGGCTTCTGTTTTTTCCACTCTGCAGTCCCTTTCTCCTACCACATGTATTCATCACTTTATTATTATCATCATTTTTTTGGGGGATTTTTTGTTAACTCTGTTGCAGTGGCGGAAATAATTGAATTTAAATAGTTTGCGTACACTTTTGCTTGAAACGTTAGTTGTTGAAAAGTTGCACCAAAAAAAATCATACAACTGGAAAGTTGGTTTTTAGAGAATGTGCGTGAAAAACAGAGTTATCTGTCCAAAGTGGACCGGCTTGGCTTAACCACTGGCGGTTGCCGGCTCGCAGTACTCGGACAAATCGTTGGCCCGTTGTTGCTGGCGCAAGCGCCTTTGGAGCAGCACACTCTCGCTGGGCGGCGAAAGGCCGATCCTCATATCAGGCAGCTCACCCATCAATTGGGACGCTTGCAGGTGGGCGAAGCGTCCACTGCCAATCCGCGGTTGCTGCTGGACGCGCTGGCCCGACGAACGGTTGTGCCGCTGCTGTTCCGGCCCCTGGTTCATGCCGCAACTGCGGGCGTAAACACAATCCTGACGCCAGTTGCGAATGGTCGACTGCTCATCAGATGGCGGAGATCCGCCGCTGCCGCTGCCACTGCCACTGCTTCCGGCGCTGTTGTGCCGCGGAGGCGGCTGCATTGGTGGCGGCATTGGAGCAATCTTGTAACCAGCGGCACCGCCGCTGTGCGAGAAGCTCCCCAAGTAATTACGCTGCTGGTTGCCATGGTGGCCACCTCCGCCTCCGGTGCTAAACGGCGGGCGATACTTGCGATAGTCCGCTGTCGGCTGCTGTTCCTGCGAGTGATGGGTGCGATAACGCCAGTTTTCGGTGTGCTGCGCCTGAGGAACGTGATCTGCAGGCTGGTAGCGTGGCACAATGTACCGCTGGTGCTGCTGTCGCTGCTTCCGAGTGTAGGCATTGGAAGGCAGCTGTTGCTTGCTGTGCTCGTGCATATCTTCCTCCTCATCGTCATCGTAGTCGTCGTCCTCGTCGATATCGGCATCCTCGTCGTTCTGATATGCATCGGGGGCAAAGTTAACAGTGCGGCCGGCCTTGCTGTGCTGGCCCGCGGTGTGGGATAGGGCTACAGGCTTCCCCTCTTCAGCTGCCTGGCCAAAAGTCGTTCGCTTTGTTGTCCCCTCAGCAGCAGACGTCGTTTTGATCACGTTTGAATCATCTTCCTCTGGGATATCGGTTGGTGGGCGTGTTGCTGATGCTGCTGGTGTCGATGCTGCTGGCACTGCCGCTGAGTTGACAACAATATTTGCAGTCTCATAAATTTCAGGTAGCTTTTCATTTAAATCACTAATACTATCCAATAGTTTAACATCATCATCTTCAATTGCATCGCCAGTTTGCCAGTTGTTAATGTGTGTTGTAGTCATAACTGGTGTTTGCTGCTTGTTATTATCGGTGATGGTAGTAGCACTAATATCACTTGATGGTCCTTGCTTCTTAGCCCCATCAACATCATCCTGCTGTTTTTCCTCCTTCTTCTCACCCTGCTGCTGCATTATTCCATTCTCCTCCTTCTGCGCATCTTTGCGCATTATGGTGAGCTTAGCAAATTCGCTTTGCTGAGTTTTTTCCTCCATATCCATTATATCCATAATAAGGTCATCCCTTATATACCCACCGTTATCGTCCTGTGGCTTCGATTTCTCCACATTGGTCTCGCCAACTTGCTCCACGTAAGCTTTCGATAGCTTTAGATTGTCAGCTTGAGTTTCCTCCTTTGGTTCATCCTCGAACTCCTCCTCCTCGACTATGTCATCGACGCGCTGCTGCTGTTCATACAAATAGTCGTCGCCCTCATCCTCGTCCAATTCGCGCCAATAATGCTTATAGTGCTGATAGTCCTCATTCTCTCCATCGTCCTCATCTTCCACATCGTCGCCCTCGCTTCCGCTCTGACGCCTATAGCGATCCTCGCTCAGCGCCTCCTGCCGCTGTTGCATCTCACGCCGCTGCTGATATTCCCTCGTTGACCTCGCCCACTCATCGTCATCATCATCGTCGATGCGGCCAAAAGCCTCCAGAGCTTCATCGTCGTCATCTTCCTCATGAACGTTCAAGGTCTTGAAGCCCCCGCTGTTCGGATAAATTGCAGAAGCATTGCGAGAGGCATTTCGGGAGGACTGACGGCTGCTAGCCCGCTGGCCGTGCATTGAGGACATACGCCCTCCATAGCTGCACAACGAGGCAGCGGGATTGCGCTGCGAGCGATTGCGAGTGTAATGACCCGGCGGCTTCGGATTGTAGTTTTCATCGCTATAGGCATCCATGTAGGCCTGCGATGGCTGGTAGATGTTGGGACGCTCTTTCATGTAATCGTAGCGCATCGAGAAATGCTGTAGGACCACACGTTTGACGGCCATGGCAGATTCGGCAAACTGCGAGATTTCCCTTGCCGACTGGTGATTGCTGCAAATTAATTAAAAACCTAAATTATTTCTGCGAATCAACAGTAAAATGTTTCATCTAATTACCGTCGGATGTTACTGGGAGTTTGCAGAGCCTTGTGGCGCCTGGCATGCTTGCTGGTCGGTGGCTCGTGCTCGGACATACGAATCCAGGGGTGATTCAACACTGCCTCGGCACTGAGGCGATTTGCAGCCTGCTTGACGAGCAGGTTAGAAATTAGGTCCTTGGCCTCATCGCTGACATCGTGCCACTCGGCCTCAGGGAAGGAAAAGTGTCCTAAGCAACAATATTATAATGATTAATACTAATATTGATAATACTAGTATGCACGAACCTTCTTGAATGGACTCGAAAAGCAGCTCCTGGCACGTGCGACAGTTTTCACCGCGATTCCAGCCGCAATCCTCACCACAGTTGCCCGAAAATGGCGGATAGCCGCAGAGCAAGATGTAAGCAATGACTCCCAGGGACCACAAATCGCACCTCTTGTCGTAATAGTGTGCTTCGCCCACAAACAAATCGACCACTTCCGGAGCCATGAACTCGGCACTGCCAACCTTAAAATTAAGTACGTGCATTTAGTATTTATAATCACTATTTATAGTCATCACTAATATTCGACTTACTGGTGTCAATAACTGGGGAGTGGCTGCTGGCGACGAGATGTCCGTCGTAAACTTAATCCCCGAACCCAAATCAAAGTCGCAGATCTTGATTGGGCACAGCGAATCCGTCTTGACACACAGAATATTCTCCGGCTTGAGATCACGATGGGCAATGCCCTTCTTGTGCAAAAAATCCAGTCCGGAGGCGATCTCCTTGATTATCTGCGAAGCCTCGTGCTCGGAGAAGCAAATGTGCTCCTGTATGCGCGTAAGCAATGGACCACCGTTGATCTTCTCGAATACCAGGTAGAACTTTTCGTCATCCTCGAAAAATTCGATCAGTTGCAAGATGCCCAAATGGCCCTGGCAGTGATGGAATGTCTCCACTTCGCGAAAGACACGTGCACGCGCATGTCCCGGTATCTTATCGATCACCTTCACGGCGTACTCCAGATCGGTGTAGATGTTAACGCAAGTTTGCACCGATGCGTAGGCTCCCTCGCCGAGAATCTCGCCAGTCAGCTTGTACAGCTCTAGTGGGCGAAATGAATAATTTAGATAATGCACCTTCTTGTCAGCTATTCCCTGACCCCCATACTCACCCTGAAAGGTTGACGAATGTAGGGAGGAGCTGATGCGTTTCTTGCGCCGCTTCTTCTGCATCTCCTCCTTGTGCCTGTTAAGCTCCGCCTGGCGCTCCAACTCGGTCATGTTGGGCGCCTCACTAGACTCATTGCCCGAGACATCCTCGCTACTGTAGCGCGTCAGCTCATTCTGTCCGTCTGAAAAAGAAAACAAAATGTGACAATATCATTAACTAAAGTTTCGATTCAAGTTCGCTCTAACCCTTTGACTTCTGCATTCTAGCTGGTAATAAGCGGATAGACTCTACATACATACATATGTATATCAAAATACGATCGGCTTTACAAGTACCATGGTATAGTATGGCATGAGCTTTTTATCGAACATATTCGCCATATTTGCATGACTATTTTTTCTGCATTTATCAATGTATAAAAATAATAATGAGGGAATATAAATAAAATAAGAAATACTCATACTTTTGCACTAACTGCGTAGAAAGCAAATAGCTTGTCGTAAACAAGTCGTCGCAAGTGTGCATTAATATGTAAAATTAAATAATGTGAAAACAGCCGCAAACAGACTGCTATATGGAAAACTTCTGGTTGGAACCGTTCACAGCTAGGCCTGGGCCTGGACCTGGAGCTAATTCCAAGATCAGGGAGTATAAGCAAGGGGGGCGAGGACCGGCGATCAGCTTGATTGAGTGTGTGCCTGTTCTTCAATTGTTGTCAATAGCCGGTCGACTATTTATAGAGCCCACGACTTCTGCATCAGGGCGGTATCTTTCGGTGGATCTGGCTGGTCAACTAATACATAACCCTGGAACCACGTCGCATTGTAAATAATTATCGCTTGATTGGAGTTATTGTGTGGTGTACTGTACAGCTGAAATCGCTTAAGATTCAAGGACTTAAGGTTACAAATACTCTAATAACTCTAACTAAAGCCTTTTTTGTTGGTCTTTTAAGTACCCGTCGCACAGTAAAATATAGTAGATGTATAATCTATTGGTTTCGTCATGTTTCAAATGAATGTCCAACTTATAAGCAGCGCAGTCCTCCCCTTTCGGCCACCCACACTTTTTGTGATTCGTCGCACGCTTTCCGTTCTGTTCTAAATATAACATTTGGCCTATTTGTTGGTCAGCTTTAATTGTTATCAATTGCGTAAATAAACGCCGAATCAACAGAAACAGACGCGTTCAAACTCTTTTGCATTTCTCTTGTTTATCGAAATTGACTCTCTCACACGCCCGTCGAATATTCTGCGCATTTAATTAATAATATACATATGTATGTATGTATGTATGTATGTTATTTTTCGCCAAATCATTTCGTTTTAATGATCAAGAGATACATATGTATGTAGTGTGCTGAAGACGTGTATTTTTGTTTAAATTGCATAAACAATTTCCGCAGTTCCGGCACAAAAAGTCCGGACTTGACGTCGGCACAACACATCATCCGATCCCTTCAGATGCAAGTCGATAAGGTGATGACGCCAATCGGCATTTGATGAAATGCCCTTACTACATTTCATGAGCGGCTAGACAATCGTAACCGAGCCAAACAAACTTATGTGAAAGAAAATGATACGAATGAAAACCTAGCAAAATATTTTCATGGTTTGCCGGCCGGCTTTTCGGATGCCTGCTTATGTGTGCTCATGTGTAAAGTTTTATGTAATTTTGGAAATCCTCTACAAATATTCGTTACTAACTCGTTTTACTAAAACAATTGCACATTGTCTATATAAATAACTACATATATATGTATGTATGTATGCATTTGTTGGGCATTGCTTTAAAAAACTTCCAAATGGAATCGAGATCAGACTTGGGTTCTTGAAAGCTTAAAAACTTAACCGAGATGAAGGACAGTTCGCCTACATGTGCAGAGCTATGAAAAAACAAAAGCTAGCAGATAATACGAAGCTGAAAACAAAACAAGAATCGAAAGCGTCTAGAGAAAACCTTGAGAAATTTCAATTTTACGGCTTTGCGCAAACATTATCGGAGCCAGTGCCATAATAAGTTATCAAATGTCTAGGTAGGAAACTCAAAATAATACGGTGGTCACTCGTTAAGCGAATAAACAAAAGGTTGATAAGACGGGCGAACTACGCAAAAAGCGAGCAAAGCAAAAGGTTTGCTTTTGGCACTTAACTTTGCCGATTTCAATTCAAATAAAGCCAGAGAAAAGAAAAAAAGGGAAGGAGACACAACATGCGGTCGCACATGAAGAGCTTTTAGTAAATAGAGAGCAGTGGAGAGGAGCCGAAAAAGTGGGAGCGTAGGGAGGAAGAGGAAGATAAGGTGGGTCCGTTTCTTTTTGCTCCCTTTTGTGGTATTACTTCATTACCTCAAATAAATTCCCAATTAGGAGTGCTTAACATCTGAAAGCTCTAAAGTCAGAGGATGTAATCTTAAGTTTGAAATCCTAAGTTGTAAAATAAGGTATTGTTTTAATATGTATGTTTAATAATTTTTTAATTCAAAAAGCTTTTAATTGGTATTTCAAAAGTGTAAGTGTTATTATAAGTTCTACATTTAAAGACATTCTTTAATCAGTTTGTATTCTTTTGCAAATTAACCAATTGGTTTATTAGTTTCCTTGCGAAAGGTCTAGAATGCTAAGAGTTGCTTCCCCATCAACTCACTCTCTTCTTAAATCACCTTCTTCTCTTGACTGCATGAATTCACGGGCAGAGGCACTAACACTTATGCACACACCCCATACGTACTCTATCTGCACGCATGTGTTTGTGTGCTGTAAAGAAGCAGAAAATTATTGCGCAGCAAATGAAATTGTAAAAGCGAAAAAAAATATGAAAGTGGCGAGAGAACCAGAACATAACGTATGACAATAAAAAATAAGATGTGGGGAATTAAATTAGAGAATAACCAAATGGGATTTATTACCATAGTTATTATACATATGTACATACCTATAACAAGGCCGTTTAAGTTATCTTAACGGTTGGAAATAATTAAAAATCAGTTGTTTAAAGACAATAGACAAGCCTAAAATGTAATTAGCAGCCCGTAAAATGAAGCGGAAACTTGTTCGAACAAAAACAATAACAAAAATGCAAAAACCGGCATTTCGAAACGTTTCCCCTCACACACAGATGCACATGCGTTGTGTGGGTGCGAGTGAGTAAGGCTGTATGTGTGTCTCTGCGAAAGTTCTCTCATCTCATCTCGTTCCTAGACTTTGTTGCTATTGTTGTTGTTGTTGTTGTTGTATTTACCCAACATGTTTGCTGCCTTTGCTGCTGTTGTTGTTGTTCGCCTTTTAATCGCAACGCAATTTGTCTAAGCAACGCCCGTTCTGCTTGTTCTTCTTCTGGGCGGCACGTTTTTTGCAATGCGTAGATAAAACCGCCTGCCTTCGATAATATGTTGCTCCCCGTCGATATTGTATTGCTTTAGTTTTGGTTTTTATTGCTATATTGGGCTAATTCTAACCCTATTCCGGTTGGATCATCTTCGATATCGAAGTACAACACTTTTCCCTTTTCGTCCGACGAAAACAACAATCTGCACGCTGAATGATTGTTATTATTGGAAGCACACGGAAAATTGTTCAGATCAAATGGCCTGGAATTTCGTATTGGATTTGTTTCGCGTGTATGAGTGTGTGTGAGTTTAGTACCGGCGACTTTGGGTGTGCGGCAAATACCAATTGGCCAAAAAAGTGAATTTGAAAGAAATGGAAAAAACACGGACAAATCTTTGCGGACCTACGTCGCGCGGCGCCAACGAGGAAAGAATCAAATTCAAACACGCGCCCGCTTTCGGGGGAGCGACAAAAACCGAAAAACTACCGCGGTGCGCGAAGAGCGAAAAAGCACCAAAGAGCGGTGGGCGGCGAGCGAAGAGAGCGGCCGAAACGAGAGCGAGAGTTGTTGTAACAAATAGACATGTACATACAGCGAAGGTTAGAAAAATAGTGACCCGCATAGAGTTTTTGAATTCAACAAACTATTCAACTTTAATGCAAATTAAGTTGGACCAAAACTGTAGGGACCCAGTTTGTGCATTTGTTCATTAATCAAAACATTAATTGTAAACATACAAAATTCCAGAACTAGCTGGGTTTTCGGGCTATCAACGGTTTTATCCCTGAGACCTGTGCTGTATTTACATACATATATAATTTTATGTTCGCAAGGGTAGCGATAAACATACATATATACATGCATTGTACGTTGTATGTACAAGCATAGATTTCTAGTTAGGTATGGGGCATAACCTGCTCAATAATTGTGAGTGTCGGACGTCCAGAAATATTGTTCGTCATAGGACAACGAAAAAAAAACCTGGATCTCTTGCTAACATACAAATTCAAAAATCAGCCCGGAAGAGAAATCAGCCCTCTGGTTGCAAAAATCCGGTTTTAAATCGAATGCACAGCAATTACCGGCCATGTTTATTCATCGAGCTGGTCGATATAAATTCATATTTGTTCAGAACTCGATGGCAAAAAGAAAACATTAGCTTGGTGTTTGCCGATCGAAATCTTTCGAGGGGTGTAAATATTGACACACTAGTTTAGGCCAGATTAAGGATTGGAGGTAACCGATACCGATACCTATACCTCAACCGATACCTGTGTTATCACACAACCTGGCCAATAAGCCCACGCACACCAACGCATCGTCGGCGGAAAGAGAGCGGCGATAAAGCCACATCATTTATTGGACACAGAACCAGTTTTGACAAGAAGTAGCTTTGTGGTTGTGGCCGACACGCCGCAAGCAAAACAAAAACAGCAACAGGAAAAACAATAACAAAGCGACAGACCGAGAAGCAGAAGGTGGCCGAAAGAGAGACCCAGTGAGAGAGAGATCGACTTTAGATTAAGAGTACAGCCCTGGAAAAGACCGGTGCGCGAATGAGCGTTGCATGATGCAATTAAGCTCTTGTAAATAAAGAGTATACAGGCAGAAATATGAAGGTAGTGTTTGATGGATTTCGAAGATGCGATTTAAACGTACATTATTACGTACTAATGCTTTAATTTTTAGTTCTTTTGAACTGAAGGTTTTTTTTCTTTCAGTGCAGAGAACCCTGCTTCATTGTTTTTGTACGTTTTGGAGTTAGAGAGCGGGATGCCGAATCGCACGTAGGCCGAAAATGTCGTGAAAGACGGGGAGCGAGGGAGAGAGACAGACTCAAACACCAATGCAGCATGGAAGGTGGTGTGATGTGTGCGAGTTCTGTTTAAAAGCAAACAAGTGGAAAGGGCAAACAGCAAAACAAAAACTACATTTAACATGCTTTGTTTTCGTTTTTGCACAGTAAACAACAACATATGCCTCTGGGGTTTCAGCTGACGTTTTTTCCGCTGCGGCATTGCCAAAGCTAAAAAATAAATTTCTCTCGCAGGGCTTTTGCGCAAGGGAGCAAGAGAGACAGCGATATGGATGGGCTGATTTTATGAATCGGAGGAGGCTGCACGTAGGCACCACTGGCTGTCCTCCAAACAGCCTCGTTAGAATGGGAAACTTCTTGATAATAGTTATGGTTTGTTGGGGGAAACAAGCTTTCAGCTGGTGGGCCCCAATTGACAGCGTTTTGCACTCAGTTAATAGCAGCTGCAAAAACCTCTCTAGCAAAACTCCTAATGGGCGCAGACACACATATGTGTGGGCGGCCGCGCTCTCATCGGTGGCTCCGCTTTAACCAGTTCGTTCGTCCGCTTTGGCTCGACGTTCTATTTTGGGCTGCAGCGAACGTCACCAAGTGCAATAAACGTCATGAAGGTTATAATCGTATCGTATGTGGCTGCAGCTTTGGAAGTTTGTTCACATTTCGCCGCGTTCGCTGCATTTCGAGCACGAATGCGCATTTGAACACGGGTGCCAGTGCATTACGCTCAATCGATCAGCCATCATGAGTCATTTTCCATTTCCATTAACAGCCTGCACACGCTCAATTTCTCGGTCTCTGCTGGCTGGCACAGATACTCGTGCCGTCTCCCTCTCTGCGCTTCATCGCCGGCAGCTGCTGCTCTTTAGTGGTGTTTGTGGAATAGTAGGGAAAAGGAACAGCCAGGAACAAAAGTTTGGAATACTCTTGTGCTTGGAATGTTTCACTAGCTGATACGAAAACAAGCAGTGCTTAAATGCACAAGTGCGCTTTATACGAACTTAGAATCCCTAATTACAGAGGGTATCGATTGGTGGATATTTTTACATATGTATATATTCCTATAGTAATAATCCATCTGGCGATTACTCTCCGAAACAGCTTTCTTACGCACAGTCTCATAGGATATAGAATATAAGTGGATTTCAGTGGTCTATCTGGTATATCTACACCACAATCTGTCATGCTTCACAAGATTATCTTTAATAAACACTAAGTATGGACTACTCATTATCTAAACGAACACATTCTAGCCTAACCTTCAGTTAGAATATGCTTAAATACTTGATAAAGTTGATCTGTCATTATTATTTAATAGCATATATGATATCCCATATATAATTAAGAACTTGTGTACAATAATAACACGACCAGTGATGGTTATAAAGTCCAGATGCTGGAATACCCCTCAAATTAGGGCACATACACACTACAAATATCTACACATATATCACTTAATGGCCCCAGTCGCATGATGCAATGTGGTTCTCTTGGCGAAACAAAACAACTGTAAACACCCCATGGACTGTTGACGTGGCGGAGGGCAGTTGGCGGTGGGGTTGGGCGCCGGTAGGCAGACAGCATGCATGTTCTCGAACATTGTGTGACGTCAAGGAAATACACCCGTTGGCACCCGGTACGCATTGGGGCCCAGTCAATGCTCCCTAGTTCGCTCGATTGATTAGCAAGGGTAAACGAAAAGAAAGTGCGGCCGATAACTGACTAGAAATCGAGGGAATGAAGGTGGAGGAGCAAGAGTGGTGGGGTCTGTACCCATGGTTGGTAGTCCCCATCCAATGGCAGGCAGAATAATACAAATCTTTCGGAACTGCAGGCGATGAAAAATACCAAATAGTGATAAATATTGCATTAAAGTGTTCACCATTGCCTTTCCGTAGAACTATCCTATACCTCGCAATTTAGTGCGGTTAAATGGTTATAACTTTTGTTTTACCATCAATCATAGAACTGAGTTCTATAACAAACAGTTCTATAATAGCAAATAACATTCGTCATATTGTTAAAATAATAATGACTAATTCAGTGAATTATATGCTACAAATGTTTTCTTTTGGCAAATAACAGTTGCTAGTTAGTTTCGACAGATAGGTACAATTTCAATTGGCTCCTAAAAAAATCCACAGTTAATATTTGCTATCATTTCATCATCCTGTTAAAATGTTTTCTAGTTACAATTAAACTGGTGACACCCTAAGCGCTTCGTATGATTTCCAAAACGTAATCTCATGCATCACAGTGTGTACTCAGCTATTCGAATTAGTAGCAAACTACTTGAGATAAGGTTTTTAGGAGGTTCCTCCCCAAGTTCTAGGAACCCAAACCCACATGTTGCCCAGAACCATTCAAAGTGCTCACCTGATTGACTCTGGCTGCAGCTGTTGTCCGTGTTGCTGCACGAAATGCCGCTGCCACTCCGGATGCCGCTGTCCCCAGATCTACGGGGGTGGTTGTTGTTGCTTGCATTTGCGGCAGAGGCAGCTGTCCCAGACTTGTGCTCCTCCTGCTCCACCATGTTGTTGCTGGTGGACTGTACGGTGCTCCTGGACGCGATTAGAGGGAGATAGGCAGAGTGCTTCCAAGCTGGAAAAGGGTTTACGGTTACGCCGCGGCCAGCTGCAGTGCGTAGTGCAACAAATGAGCAGCAGTTTCTCGCTCTTTCTCTCTTTCCCTCTCTTCTTGTTCAGCTCATTCAAAATGGTGGCCGCCTATGGGATGTTTTTTGTTTTCCGTTTTTGTTCTCCTCTAGTTTTTAATCCAATTGCCAAGAAATGCGGCGGTTGCTGAAAAAACTGATTTAATTCTGCTGCAGATGCACCTCTCTCTCTCTCAATCGCTATCGTACGTTTATTTATTCTTGTTCGGTCAAGTTTGGTGGTTGAGTCGTCGTTGGTGTTGCTGTTGTTGTAATCGATGACTGCTGCTGATTTCTCTCATCACACAGGCGAAAAAAGCTCAAGCAAAAAATGGGGTTTATCTATTTGCACCGCTTTTTTTCGGATATCTGAATTGATTTTATTTTCTGCGCTACTTTGTGTATTTTTTGTTGTTTTGCGTTTCACCTTCTCTCTTTGTGGGCTTGGCTGTGCAGTAGTGCTATTGCTGTTGCTGTGCTGCTGCTGTTGTTGTAGTTGTAGTTGAGATGGCTGTAGTAGTGGTGGTGGTGGTGCAAAGGTAGTTCTATTTTATTTTTTGGGGCTGCTGGAAGTGGCTAGTGTGGCGGTGGAGTTGGTCGTTAAAATTTCCTCTGCTGATTACAACACAAAAAAAATCGCTGAATAGCGGACAAAAGCCGTTTTCTTTGCGTATTTCGCTTTAAATTTCCTTCCCAGCTACCGATCCATTTTCAAAGTTCGAATGATTCCGACGAATGACGACGACTTTTTCGATGTGGCCGGAGCTGTCATTTTGGTGCGACCGTTTTTCGGCGCAATGAAAATACCACAAGACGGCGGTGATACTAAGGTATTTCGCTTCCAATTTAGTGTGGCTACTCTACTCAGATATGGTGGGAAACTTCGCTGCGTGCTTGGTGGTTGAACTCGCTAAATAAGAATGGAGTGGCAACGCTGTCATGGTTTCTACATGTATTTTACTTGGGGAAGTGGGAACACTTTTGGCGGTGGTGCGACCGTTTTCCGGCGCAACGAAAATACCACAGGTCGGCGGCGATACTAAGGTATTTCGCTTCCAATGTAGTGTGGCTACTCTACTCAAGTAAGGTGGGAAACTTCGCTGTGTGCTTGGTGGGTGAACTCGCTAAATAGCAATGGGGCGGCAACGCTGTCATGTGTTCTACATGTATTTTACTTGGGGAAGTGGGAACACTTTTGGCTGATCTTTTAAAATGCCTCAACTCGCAATGGAAGTAAGTAATTTGTTTAGGTAAAAAAACATTAAAATTTTTAAAATGTTCAACCAAGTTGAAATCTACTACCAAAAGCGCCCCGACATTTCAACAAAATGCATTTTTGGGTGATTATAATTTATTAGAATTTTTATTGACTTAAGGTAAATATAAATAAAATATTATTCAAGTACAAAGTTATATATACTCATTAATATTATTTGATTCAAGTAAATATATTTCAAAGTGGCGGTGTTTATTATATCATTTTTCAATTAAGTACAATTTACTGTTCCTGCTCTATTTCTATGGGTTCGCAGAGTGTCCAAAAGTACTCCTAACACTCGGTCCTATAAGGTGTGCATATTTTGCGGGCAGGCCATTTTCGATTTGGCCCGACCAGAAAGTATTGCGAGCCATTGACGCCGCACCTGCAAGTTTTGAACCTGGCTTATTGACTCGTGATTTCCTCGTCTTTGAGACCCGCGGATCGAGTACTTGTGGGTGCTTTGCGAACCCGGACTTCAAAACTTGCCCATGCAACAATTGTATCTTTGTGTTGTTTACGTTTAATCAATGAATTTGGATCACAAACAGTAAATACGTCTTTAACGATAATTGCAGTTGAATTAAACATATTAAGATCAGAAGGGTTGGGGGTGGGGGTACCTTTTTTTAATTATAAAAATATTGTATCTGCATTTTACATGTTTTTGTTTCGCTACTATCGTTTTTGCTCGAAATTACATAAGTCCAGCCTTAAAACAAGTAATTTTCGTCACCAATCGCATTCGCGCACGCTCCATTATCCATAACACTCGGTTTCATCTTCAATTCAATTTTGCATTTAAACGCTACGTTGCCTTAACTTCAGTCCTTTCGCAGAAAATCTAACCCTTAAATGTATTTAGCTCTTCGCCCGTCGATCCTTCATCCTTCCTTCCTTCACATCCCCCGCATGCTGCAGACACTAAACATAAATTCAATACGTACAGTTTCAAATTGGTTGCGGCATTCTATCGGCATTATATCGTCGTTTGATGTAAAAGGTGTAATGATCCTTGCCTTAAATGCCATCCTAACGTATTAGTCCCGTCCGCCTCTAACTACAATTAAACTTCTCTTTGGCCGCAAACCCCCGCATCACTTATTTAGCTCCTGTAAATATGAACTGCTTGTGTTTTTCTTACTTTTTTTCGATAATTTTTGTGTTTTGCTCTGGTTTTTGTTTTTATAATTTATTTAAATGCACTAAAAGTTGCACGGACCGTTTGCCTATGAAGTCGGTTGTTCGGCTACGTTGCGATCTAGATCTATCCTGTAATTGTCGATTTTATAATATTATACGTTCGATAAGCCAATGAAGTGTGAGAAAATATGTATCTTTTTCGTCATTTGTTTGTTCGTTCGTTATGCATTTTAGTTGGTTGATGGTTCGTTTTGCGTTTATAAAATGCCAAAATTTGTGCAAATTTCTAAAACTTTTTTTTAGTTTTCCTTCTCGTATTATACTAAAATATTTTTAACTTTAAAATGTACTTCCTCATTAGATTAAATTTTTCTTTTCTTTTCATTTGTTTTGTTTCCTTTTTCTTTTCTTTTTTCACTTCGTTTAAAATATTGCATTTTTATTTTATGTTTTTCTTTTGGAGGCTTTATCCCTGAGTGATTTAATTTCATTTGTTTGTCATTTATTGCAACTTTTTCTTTATAAACTTATTGTTTTATATTCTCTTATTCGATTTAGTGTGTCAAGGTAGAGAGAGAGAGAAAGTGAGTGAGACCGAGAAAATCAATGGCAAAATAATAACTCCTTGTTTGCTGTGAAGGTTGCTTAATTATTTATATGTTGTCACGTTATTGTTTACAAATTGCCTCTGGGCTGCCAGCCCCTCGCCTTTCGGGCCAACAAAACGCATTAATAATATGCTACCCTCTAGCGTAGTAACTGTATTGAGATTTGCTTAGTTTCGTTTGTTATTCCATTACTTTTTGGCTAATACACCTCCTCGGTTTACTTGTCTATATGCAATTTGCTGCTGTGTCGTGGGTGCTTCTTCTCTTGTAGGTGTGTAGTTAAAATATTTGTACTTCACAGCAAGTGTTTCATTTACGTTCCGCACTGTACACGACTGTACATCCAAACTGGCTGGCAGCGGATCGAATAAATACACAAGTTTTTGGCACCAAACAACAAGGTTACCTTTCTGATTAAGTACATTTTTCGTAAGAAGTGTGCCGGAAAAATAGTTTCGAACGTGAAAAATGAATGCAAATGTCGCTCTGGCTCAAACTCTTTAAAAATTAGAATTTGAAGAACATTACTTTGGTTTTGTAGGTGTTTTGCCCTATAACCATTGGTTATAACCGGATTAAGGACTTTAAAATGTTATTTAACTTGGAATGTGAAACAATATCCATTTCCATTTTGATTCAAAATCAAATAGAGATTGAAGTTCGAGCTCAGTGGGCCATTTTTGAATTGGGTGATCGAAACAAACAAGGAAAGAAACAAACAAACAAGTGGCTGAGTGTTCGCTTTACAATATCTGATTCTGCATCCGTATCTATATGTGTGTATCTGTAGGTTAGCGTATTTAGTTTGAAGCTTCGTATAACTATACAAGGGTTTGCAATATGTCTCATTGCTATGTATGCTTTTGGATCTGTTAAATCGTTTACTATATCGTTAATCGTTAATCTCAAAATGCTTTGTATTTGAACAGTAAATTACGTTGTCACTTGCTGGAAGTGTTTGCACTTTATTTCGGTTATTGTTTTATGCCGTTATTCCTATTCGGTTTTCATATGCTCTCTCTTTTGTATTTATATATAAAAATATCCTTTTATACAATTGTGTTTCCGGTTATTGGTGCAATCGCATTCGCGATTGCTCGTGTAAGGTTAGCGATTCTGTTGGATTGTTGACCCGTGCTATCTGCAATGCTATGGCTATGGCTATTGCTGCAGTATCTGTATATGTGGCTCTTAACTCTATTTGTGGTTATCAGTTATCGGTATCAGTATCAGTAGCTGTATCTGTATCTGTATCTGTATTTGTATCTGTATTTGTATCTGTACTTGTATCAGTATCGGTATTGGTATTGATTGGTAAGCTGGATATAGGTTTACTGTTGGTTATTGCAGTTGCAGGCAATGACGATGGCTGGAAGTTGGGCATGCCAAGATGCAAGTTCGTATTGCGGCTCTCTGTTTAGTGTTTGGTGTGACTCGCGTCGAAGGTTTTCCTTTGAACATTCAAGTTTAAAAGCTTAAGATTACATGACATCGTTTCGGGTTTCCCTCTATGCCTATCGGTAAAATAAAATACAAGACTAGAAGTACAAATTTCGCTTGTAGAGCTTCTTACTTCCTTAAAAAGTGTGCATAATTCAATAAGAATTTCCCCCGTGCTCTCGGGGGAAAGACATTTAGCATTAAATGTAGTGAACAAAAGCGCCACGAGGGCAACAAAAAGGCAAATCAAAAGGATTATAAATTGCACATATATAATTAAATCGGTTGCAGACATATTAACTTATTCTTAGAACAGCTTTCGACCGCCTACGATCGTCTCGTTTGTTTTTAGTTTATGCAGCGACTACAGATCACAGATCCCCAAAAAGAAACGAAAGCGATGTTTAAGCAGCGTTATCTTCCCTTAACATATGCGCATACTAAACTCGAATTTAAATCTGTCATTCTGCTGATTTGTACATTTCGATTGCTATACTTTGCTCGACTGTTTGTGCGAAAATCTCAACTGAAAGAACTAAAGCTAAAGAACTGAAAGTGTCGTGAACAAAATCGTACTAATACTTGCATCCAGTAAGTATAACTCGTGTTTATTGAGGGTTATTGTAATTGGAGTTGGGTGACGCTCAGCAGGACCCCCGGTAAGCCCCCAGCGAATTTCAAAGGCAGCTCGCCTGCTCCCGGCCGCAGTCAGTCGAATCCGTATACGGATACTTACTGTCCACCGCCGCCAGCAGGCTGGCCGCCCCTTATTGCTTGAAATTCGGCTGGGAGTTTACCAGAAGTCCTTGTACGATCCTCAGGAGCCGTGCAGCGCGTTGCTCTGCGCACTGTTGCCGCCTCCACCGCCGCCACCTCCGCCGGCGGATCCGTTTACGTTCTGCGCCGACACCTCCGACTTGACACGCCGGGCGATGTGCGATCGCGTATGCTTGCGCAAGTGATCCTTGCGATAGAAACCTGCAGGTGGCAGCGATTAGTAACGGGGTAATCAGAATCACTTTTCAGACCACTCACCTTTTCCACACTCAATGCAAACATGCTTCTTTTCGCCGGAATGGATGACAATGTGCAGAGTGAGCTGCTCCTTGCGCTTAAAGGACTTCATGCAGATCTGTGGAGAAGAAGACGAGTTGAATGGATATACAGGTTTAATCATTGTACCCTAGCTTACATAATGATATATTTTATATATTGTTAAAATTTATGATATATAAAGACTATGTTAGACTTTATGATATATGATAGTATGATATATATTAAATGGCAAAACAATAATTAAGTCATGATTATAACTGTGTATTGATGGCTAGTATTTGGGAATTTGTCGGCTCTCTGAGCCACTCACATTGCACACATGCGGCCTGTCCGGTATGTGGGATAGTTTGTGCCTGGTCAGGTGGTCCTTGCGCTTCAGCGCCGCATTGCAGATGTCGCAGACGAAGCGACGCTCCACGGCGTGCGAGATGACGTGCTGCTCGATGAGGCTGCGGTCCGGATAGGCCATTTGGCACTCCGGGCAGCAGTAGAGCGTCGAGCCATCCAGCGCCTTTGTCTCGCGGATTTCTCCTGGCTTGGGGCGCGGCTTCTTCTCCTTTGGTGGTTTCTTCTTTTTGGTCTTCTTGCCGCTGGCCGTGCCCGTTCCCCCGCTGGCGTTTGTTGTGCCCACGGATCCGGAGCTCGAGACAGCGCCGGCGCCACCATTGGTGACAGTGCCGTTGGCGTTGCCGTTCACCCCGTTGCTTGCTCCGTTCGTCAGCGCCGCTCCATTGGCGTCCGTCATGTTGGTCATGTGACCGCCATGGTCCATGCCCACCAGTCCGTTGTGGTGGCCGCCATTCGCTCCGTTGTTGCTGGGCGTTAGGGCCACGCCCCCCAGCGCCAGGCTGGCCAAATTGGTGCCGTTCTTCAGGACATCGCCGGTGGACTCCTTCTTGATCGTCTCCGAGTACTTGAGGAAGTGCTGTATGGAGATGGGCAGTGTGGCGGAGAGCAGGTGCGACGAGTAGTCCACCGTATTGGCCGTATTGGCCAACGTCTGCCAGGATTGGTTGACATTCTGCAGGATCTGCTGGTTGAGGACTGGGGAAGCAAAAAGAGAATGCATAAATTATAGTTTCGAATATAAATTTCTATGTAATTTTCATTTCCACCTAATATGCCACCTAACAGTACCAGTAAACTAATTTGCCTGACCCTAAATAAAAAGTGCATACTTTTCAGTACCTAATCTAATGATTTTAATCAATATTATTATAAGCCCATCCCCCTTGCATAATTCATTTCAGCCCTGAAAGAGGAAGTCAGCGATAAATTCCCCATCATTGGGGGCGTGTCAGCTTGTGGGCTGCAATCTACGCCACCTAAATGATAATAAAAAATGTTATCATGGACAAACACTGCGTATGAGTGATAAAATTTAGAAGCAATGGACAGATGTTAGAAGATTTCTCCTAGTAAGCTTTAGACATCCAAGGTTCCTAGACGAAGAATTCACGTATTATTCAGCATAGAGAATATTTTAGTGTTTTGAAGTTAGCGTAGGTTTTACGTTTAATTTTAATTAAATGAAAACGTATGTATAATCTTCACAAATTAATACAAGTTAAATTGAAATAAGATTCTTAGCATTTCTTGGATCAAAGAGTAAGAAAACTAATTTAAATGTAAGGAAATAATTTTAAATATACAATGTAATTACCAATTACCGTAGCAACCATCCTACAATTTGTACGAAAAATGTCGAAACGTTTGTGACCGGAAAGGGCTGTCTCTTCTCAAAAATCCCAGGATAGTAACCATTTACTCTCAAGGACAAATCGCCCACACCCCAATTTCCTAGCTTTTCGTTCGAGTGGTGCACACTTTTCGCCTTTGCGGCGGGCATAATCAGGATGAGGAAAGCAACATCATCCACTTGTTTAAGGTGGCTCGCCGTAAAACTGGATGAAAAAGTATGCTATCCTGCCATTATAGCAACAACACTCCTCCCCCCTGACTCCCCTACCACCCACATCAGCATGGGGGACAGCAGACAGGCCCAAAAACATTTATAAATAACGAAGCCGAAGGGAGACGCACGACGAGTGATGACTGCGTCCTTGAAATACACATATACCAACCCGAAAGCACTGTACATACAGCTCAGCTTCCCCGAGCCCAGGCCCACTTTTCTGCCCGTCCGGTGACGGAACCGGGGAGCCACCCACTAATCGCCCACTGATGCCCCCTACTTGCGGGTCGGCGACTCACCTTCTTCCCGGTCACGTTCGATTTTTGGATGGATTTTACCCTTATGATCGGCCGCAGCGGCTGCATTGAGAAAGTTCAGATCACCCTGCGGCTGTGAGTACGGTATGGAGATATTCTGGCCATATTGCATGTTGTTGGCAGCCGAAACTGAAAGAGAGGAATTGTTACAAATTATTAGGGACTTCAAGTGGGGCAGGGGTTAAAAATAAATTGTAGCACTGTAATAGTTAGTAACATTTACACATCGTGAGCACAGCCTTTGTGTGAAGGTATGTACGAGTATATCGTTGATAAGACTTAGGATTAGAGGTTTTTCACAGCGAATCAATTCCACTTCCAACTCAATTCGGCCGCCGCTCTCGCACAACGCACTCTGGCCGACTAACTACAAGCGACTGGGCCTGGCCGGAGTTTCCCGATTTGGCGGCTCCGGCTCCGGCTCCTGGCTTCTGGTTCCGGCCGGCTCCGAATCGAGTCCCATGGCTCAGCTGGCGAGCCGAATAAAGGATCGGGTGCCGGCACAAGAACAACATACGGCCGACAAAGTAACGACGCTCTGTCACGACACATGTACCTAGTGCATATACACGTCTATATAGATTTGTATATTTACGCATGTATCTGGGGCCAGTAACGCTGTGCTTGTGTGTAGGCAGCCACATTTTCAGCATATACAATTATTGGGGCGGACTTGGGTTGTGTGCGAGTCTCAAAGGCTCATACAAATAAGTTGAGAGAAATTAGATTTAACGTCCGCTAAAGATTAGCGCTCATACGCTGATACTAGCGTATATTAAGTATAAGCAGCGTTGCCTTTGTTGAAACTCAACAACTATGTATGCTAAGTAAATAAATAATAATTGCTAATATAAATAAATTACACCATTTAATACATTTATTATTTAGAAAATAAATGTAATAAGCAACAATCTTTCTTTCTCAATTTAATATTTAATACTAAGTACAGATAGAAGACATCTATACAAGTCGAGTATAGACAACCTATATTTAAGCAACAAGAAATCATTTTTAGTAAATAATTATTACTAACGGAAAACCTACAAGTTCCACCCCAAAGCCCATAAATATGTATCGGCACACTATAGTTAACCACGTTGTTCCTACTTGCCGAACGTGCGTGTGCCTACGAACTGTTGTTGTCTGCTGGCTGGCTGTCGTCGCCTCCCCGCCCCCCGGCAACACCAATACCAACACACTCGGGCGTCTGCCAAGGCCAAATTTTCACACGCACATACACACACACACACACGGAGGCACACACGTGTTTTCGGGCCCCGACAACGCATACATAGGAAAAAGGAAATTAAAACTGAAACTGAAAATGCCGGCCGCGCAAACGCCCGAATGTATGCCATAGGAAAAGCGTACCCCACTTTTTCGGTGGCTTTTCGGTGGGTGTGTGCCATTCACACCCTCTACTCCCCCGCAGATTTCCCGATCCCCCTACCCCAAGTGATTTCCGTGCTTCTTGGCGTTTTCTTAGCCGGGTGCTCGGTTTTATAAATAACATTTTCGGGCTGTTGCCAATTGCCTGGTTTTGTTACATCAACTTTCAGACTGCTCTTGCTTCCTTATGAAAATACATGGCCCGGTTTCTGGGACGGAACGATCCAGGAAGCTGTACTTTACATTTTACATTATTCCGAGCACAAGAAACGAAAAACAAACCTCCTCTGCTGCTTTTCCTTCTGGCTGACGTGGTGTAATTTATGTGTCTCTGTGCGTGTGGTCTGCGTCAGTCTTAGTCGCTGTATAAATTACCATTCGACCTTGGGCCGCAACTTAACATATTTTCAAATGCTTTAATTTTTCCGCATTAGCCGTTTTCGGTTGGAGGAGATGCACAAAATGTTTCTTTGATAAAATCGCTGGAGCAGCTATAATTTAAATTGAAAACATATTCCTATGCAAATGATTAAGCGCATATGTATAATCGAATTAGGGTCAAATACTAATGTTGCTTTCTGGGTTGTTTTTCCTTTTAATGTATTCTAAGTACCAGGAAGAATGTGAATTTGTATTAAAAGTATGCTATATCTTTGTGAGTTCTATAGCTCACCCATGAAATACGGAACCCACTATACGATTTAAGAAAATTATACATTTTTTTTAATGTGCACTGCATTTGCTCAAAATGTATTATATGATTTAAAAAAAGATTAAATTTATTTGAAGATTGAAGATGGTAAAAGATGTAAAGTGGTAGTCTGCATAATGGCATTGACTAAATGGAAATTAAAGAGCAATCATTAAAAGGGTTCAAAGACAGCCGGAAAAATCGGCCGAAGTGGCCGAAAATGCGGAGCCATGGCAACAACAAAAGCGAGAGGCGTGCGTGGATGGCAAATGGCAACCGGCATTCGTGGCATTTCACTTTTCACTTCACTTTCCCATGAACGGGATGACGACAACGACAGGGAAAACAGGCAAAGCTGGGAAAACAACGTACGGCGTGGAGGAGACGAACATATCGCCGGATTCAGAATCGGAATCGGAGCCGGAGTAGCGAGTCAAAGTCGGTGAAGTCGGAAATACAGCCAAGCGAGAGTGACAGAGCGGTGAGAGTGGAGAGAGTGCATGAGAGTGGCGGAGACTGAGAGCGAGCCCAGTGGGGTTTTGGGCGGATCGTATCGGCAGCAAAGTGGAACAAAATGGAAAGGAATGCGCCTGGCAGCGATTTGAAAAACATGGCGTTTATCTGCTCCTGTCCATGTCTATGTGTGTCGCACGGCCTGGTGTGTGTGTATGTGTGCGGGAGGCAGTGAAAGCGGTGAGAGCGCCCGCGCGGAAGAGGGAGAGCGTTTGGGTGAGAGGAGCATGTCTGGCCCGGAGAGTGAGAGAGCGTAGCATGGTTGGGAAAAACTGCAACCCCTAACGGAGTTGGGCGAAACTTGACCCCAAGCCAAGAGAGAGAGTGAGTGAGAGAAAGAGTGGGGGTGGGAAAATAGATGGGTGTGAGAGGCTTACACTCAGAAGGAGACAATATACTGAGTAGGCTATTTAAGTGTAGTTGAATAATCAGAAAGAGAAAACCCGAATATTTATGATATTCCTCATTCCAAATATGTACATACATATATTAAATATTACATTCATCAAATGAAAGTTGTGCTACTTGAAAATAATGATAATGAATTTTTACAACATACAATTCAATTTTTTTAAGTGTACATTTAGGGGAGAGTAATCATAGGAAATCGAGGGGGATAGAAAGCAAACGGCGCCATCGGCAGAGTTTAAGTCATCAGCGCCAACAGGACGAAAAATAAAAAAAATGAAAGCTCGACAGGCGCTTTAAGGCTTAAAGTCAAGGGGAAAAAACAAAGAAATAAATAATCAATGAGTGCTAATATTTATTTATCTATACCCATTCAAATGAAAGAGCTTTTAGGGGTTGGGGTGTATGTGCCCATCGTAATTGCTTTATCATGCTCACTTTTTTAGTGTTGCATACATCCAGGCAACGATTTGGGGGTGTAACCAGTCATTTACACCCACGGAGCACATACATTCATCTATGTACTCTGCACATAGGTACATAAGTACATACATATGGATGCATATAAAAAATGCAAATGGTTTATGGCTGGGGTGCCTGCTGAACATTAGGGGGACGTTAATAAAAGGGGAAGAGCTGTGTCCTCGACAACAAAATACCCGGTGTCCACTGAAACCCATAATGTTTGAGAATAAAGGGTTCCAGGCATACAATTATAAGTTAAATGTACTTTATATAATACTGGACGGAAACTTGATGGAAACCTAGAAATTCAGTTTATTACTGGGGAAATTGGTTAAGTCATGTGGTCAAAACTGGGGTGCATAAAAAAAACCATTTTATCCCTAAACATAATCAAAAATATTAATAGTACAACAATTTGTATTTTGCCTTGTATTTTATTCCGGATATTATTTGTGATATCTTCTATATTCTACGTGATGTTTAAAGCCATATATAAGAATACATGGCTTTATAAATATAATCAATTTTATTTACTTGGTGCTCATTCTGCCTTCAAGTTGATATGTTTCCATTTCATTTGTATTGCTTCTTTTTAATTATGAGCTGCTTCGGGGTTTCCAACATATGAACTCTGAGCAAACTTTCCCAATCTTGGTCAGGTATTTATCTGTTTACATTTTGAGTCCCATACCCAGAGGGCAACTCGAAGGGTCCGGCCATATCTACATATGTACATCGACCGCTGCACATTTCCTGCTAACCCAGTAATGATTTATACATACAAGGAAACCAGGCAATTATCGGGTAGGTATCGAAAGATAAACCTCGAGCAGGTCACAGAGTCGCAGGGCAGCAATAATGCAGCTAATAAGCAAGAGCAGCAGGAAAATGCAGTGGCTCGAGTACGTGGGACACATTTTACCTGCCTTGGATTTGGGATCAGCAGCTCACAGTCCAGCAGATACCAAATACCCAGACCCGTAGATTACATCCAGTCGTATGTATTGAAAGAGATAAAAGAGCAGCATTACCCCACACACACACACACGGCACACACTTGCAAACGCATTTTCCTGTTATGGCAGGTAAAAAATATAAAACGCTAAACTGGAAATATAATGCGTAGCTCAAAAGCCGGGATCAATGAACCTAGCCGATGCAGAGGAGTTTGAGTTTGGGTTTTGGTTTGGGCCATGGTTCTCCACTTTCCAATAAATGCAAGTGGAAAATATCTGTGCAGTTGCCAGGGGAAAAATAATTATGAAACGCAATCGGGGGGATGGGGGTTGCCTGGGAATCTAATTATGCAAGCAGCTAATTAGAATTGATAAGAAGAAGGACCCTGCGGTTAGGGGCTAGTATAGGGGTTATGTATTCTATATATCGGGGGGTAGAACCGACCAACCGGTCACACCCTTCCACTAAACAAAAAAAGTTGCAAGTTGGCAGGAAGTCAGTGCAATTAAAAAGCCAAAGGCAGGCTCTCGTGGGTTGGGGGTTGTAACTCACACTCAAACACACACTCACACTCACTTACTCTCACCCAGCACACATACGTATATGCATTTAATTGTATTTCTATGTATGTACTTAAGTAGCTGAAGAGAGCGGTGAAACCCACCCCTACAAAAAAACAAAGTGAAATGCAGCAAATTCAAAAGTTATTTGAGTTCATTGCATTTTCAAGCCACGCAAAACAACAACTGCCATAGCTTACACTCGCACACAAACACACACGCTGTTACACCCGCTTGGGGGTGGGTGGTAATGACTCAAAACATAGAGCGGAATACTCGTATAAAAAAGAGCGCAAAACAAAAACAACGACGAAAAAATCGTTAAATTCTGCTTTGATGACAGGGTATACTCGTACTCGTACTAAGTCGCTCCACCCCGCCAACCAACCCCCAAAAAATTGTAGTGCGGTTTACAAATTGCCTGAAGAAGATGTCTTTGCTAGCCAGAAAGCGAGAATGCCGTAGATGGGGGTGGAAAACCCGCTAACACGCACACATGTCTTTATGCGAATGTCAGTAAGTAGATCCAGATGGAAGCCACCTTTCGCTGGTAATTCAAGGAAAGTATTGTTCGAGTTTCAAGTGGAACATTTTTTAGCTGAATTTTAGCTAAACTTCAGAAACTTAAAAAAAACTATTTAGAATTAATAAGATCATCATATGTTCTGAAGGTTCTTAAAATTTTTTGAAGCAAAGCATGCTAAACAGAAGGTCAAAAGAACTTAATGTAAAGATCAATAAACCTCTTTGTTTTAAACTAGAGAACAGCTTAATTTTGTTGTATAAAAATACAGCTATAAGCAATTTGTATTAAATTCGTTTCATTATTTTTGCTTACTTCACAAGTTGATAATGAATAATTTTTATTATTTACTTTTTACTGACTTCCTGCTCTCACGGATACTAAAATATGCACCAATTGGACAATCACGAAGTGATATTAATCGAAATTAGAGATTCAATACCTCACATTTTATTAAAATCATTTATTTACGGATTTAAACGTAATTTATTGTAAGAACTACACATAATTGCAGTTTTAGTGCCATGAATTTAAATCTTTTATTGACCAACAGTTTTATGCGAATGTAGTATACACCATTTGGGAGCTTAGGAGTTTATTCATTTTTGAAAGAAGGCTAACCAGAACTTGTCCTTCCAACAAGAGTGGTGCCCTTTGCCCCAAAACAAGACCCTCTGTGTGTGTAGGGCATTAGGCGAGGCAGTAGCCGACCCCCTCTGCCGCTGCCGCTGCCACTGCCATCGCCGCCGCCTCTGCCTTCGCCACTGACGCTGCTCGAGTGAGAGAGTATACCCCCTGACGCTATGACGCCGGCGTCGCTGCCCGCAGCGGGCGAAAATAAATCGATAAAAATAAAATAAATTTTTAGTGATTATGTTATACAGACACATGTGCCTGCATGTGCATTGCAGGCGATTGTCTGTCCGTATGTGTAGCAGAGTGTAGATGTAGAGAGTAGTTTAGTGTATAGTGTAATGGTGGGTCAGACGCACTTACCGTTGGGCACATTCTGATTAAAGTGATTGCCATTGGTCTGATAGCGCTGCACATGGTTATCGGTGCCGGCCGCTGCCGCTGCGGCTGCTGCATTTGCGGCGGCCGCGGGGGGCGTGCCGAAGGCGCCGGGCGTCTGGGCGTCGAATTTAGCGGCAAACTGGTGGATGCCGGAGAAGGGGCCGCCGAACGCGGAGAAGTTCATCATGTCAGGATCGGGATGATCGGCGGGGTATTTGATTCTAGTTCGGTTTTTGATTCGGGGCCTCGAGGGGCCCTTTTTGTTTAGGCAAGTATCTTTCAAATCGCTTTAGCACTATAACTCGATCGGGCGCTAATATTACTTTTTATTTTATATCTTTTTATTTTTTTGTAATTATTTTCTGCACAACGCGATACGATGACGAAGTGTTGTAGTGGGTGGTGGCGGTAATGGTAATGATGGTGGTGGTGATGGTGCGCTGGTTGTGTGCCTTCTGTTGTTGTTTTCCTGTTCTCCGCCGTCGCTGGTGGGGGTTGGTTTTCTTTTCTTTTCCTCCTTTCCCCTGGCCACACTCATACACTAGCCCTCACACACAAACACACACACAGGCGGCACATAGAAACACGTACGCGCTTACGAGCGCACAGTTTTATGCTGTGCTTTGCTTTTTCGGGGGTAGAAAAGCAGAAAAGCGGGCCCAAACACAACACGTACATACACACACACACACACACACACTAGCTCGCACACGCGGAGAACCACTTTCGGTTTCGATTCTGATTCTCGATTCCGCTGGATTCTGATTCCGATTTTGCTTTTGCTTCGCCTCAGCTCGAGTCAGCTTGAACTAAACACGCACACACACCCGGCGGAACGGAGCGGAATCGCACTAAAGTCTCGCTTACGATTTCGCTTACGACCGGCTCGTCGAGGCTCCGACATCAAACTAAAAGTAACATTACAACGAGGCGAAAGAAAGCGGAAACACTGGGCCAGGCAAAACGACGCGGACGCGGACAGCGGCAGCGCTGCGACGCAAATGACAGTGACAGTGCCCAGGGGCAAGCAGGGTATATTGGTTGTGGAGTAGCCGCACCCCTATTCCTCGCATATGATTTAGATAGTTAATAGTTTTATAGTTTGTCCGCTGGTTCATCCAAGCTCTTCTAGTTAGCAGTTAAGATGGGTATTTTACCTATAAGCTAAGCCGTTAATTAGTTTAACAAATTATTTAATACAAGTATAACTGCAACAAAAATAGGTTTTTAAATTTACATAATAGCTGATCAACTGATATACATCTCATACGGCGCTGTACCTGGTAAATTAGTTTCTTGTCGTTATTTGCCAGATCGAGTTGAGTATACATATGCAATGATCCCCCGCATTTACTGGGTATCAACTATTCGCATACCAACCAACTGCACGACTGCAGCATTCTTACATGTCTGTATTAGTTCGCTGTGTGTTTGTACGACTGACTGTCTGTGTGTTTGTGCGCTGTGTGTGCCGCTTTGAGGGTGGAAGTTTTTCTACTTCTCTGGAAAATGCGCGTTTATTTGTACGTTCCTTACATTTCGCTGCACCTAGTGCCGGGCATATGACACTGGCCCCAGGCCCCTGCTCCCGAAATTAGCTTGGTGGTCACTTGGCCAGATTGCTGGCAGAATATTCTTGCGCGATCCGTGCAGGCGAAGTGCAATTTATGCTGGGACTGAGGCCGATACCGAGCCGATCCGAACCTCATAGCCAGACACGCAGCGAGACGAGCCACGAAATTCGCTGTAAGTTATCAGGATGAAAACCGGTTGGGAGCGAAGCATAAAAACTGGTTTCCAGCGAGAGATGAGCTACTTTTTTTGACCGCAGTCGAGGCAACAACAAATGTATTGACAACGCCGAGCAGGATGACTTTTTGAATATCTGGATTTGGTTTAGACACAGCAGAAAAGGCCATTAAGATTGCATTTATGTATTTTAATGGTAGGAAATCAAATAATTTGCATTACAAAATTCAGGCTGTTGATCACTTTGGATGCCCTAAACTATTTGTAGTTGGGTGGAGGGTAAAAGGATTAAGCTATTTTTGATTGGGTCCTAAATAAACTACCCGATAAGGTAGGCAAATTAAAAAAAAAGAAACATTTAAAAAATATTACTTAACAGTTGGATCACAAAATAAATATATTGTAGCCCTTTTCGAGACAATCTTAATGTAATTTCTTATTAACTTGCAAGAAGGGTACTCACAGATCGGCGCAGAGTGTCCACAAGAAAAACGCACATACAATGCGCCTTGTATTTTTATTTGGTTTTCCAACTTTTTGGGGTTGTGTGGTATGGCTGTGCACTTATACGCTTACATGTGAATATGTCAGTTTCTATCGGCGTATGTGCGCCGTGTTTTGAAGTATCTATGTTTGGCTATATGCTTGTGTGCATGTATCTGGATCTGTTTGCCCACGGACATGTGTAGACGAAGGGAGAGGAGAGGCCGAGAGAGCAGAGCGTTCTCGAGCGCATTGCTCTCGTTGCATTCGATTCTGCTTTCTGCTTCTGCTGTATGTTGTATTAATGAAAGTGAGTCCAGCGGCGAAAGAAAGCAGGCCGTGGAACTAAGACAAGTTCTGTTTCTGATTCTGCTTCTGCCTCTGTTCTCCTGCCTTTGGATTGCAAGTGCTGTCATGTTCTGCAGACCCACAGCTAGGGGTTAGAGATCGGTAAAATAACTCCCCTTAAGAGTTTCGAACCATATTCAAGTTAGTGATCCGTCTTCATCATGATTTTTGATGACAGGACAAGTACTTATTATATACATACGTACATATGTGTATATACCCCAGATATGTATGTAGATGTTACCATAAGCTTGATTATTGGAAATATTTTCTATACATCTTGAGTAGATGGAACATAATGATATGTGTATGCAGTTTTTCGTTTTACAGCTATAGATAAATTTAATATAGATAACTTTAAGCTTTCTCTATTTATACTTTTAAATTAGTTTTGAAAACATAGATTTTTACTAGCAAAAATAAAAGCGCAGGAGACTGGTAAGTCGATTCGACTGCACCTTAATTTTTATGTGTTAATTCACACATACACTTGCACTTGCATAAACGCCTGTGTGTGCATGTCTGTATGTCTTTTCTCATTCTTGTTTTTTCCTGTTGCAGTCTTGTCTTCTACTCGTTTAATACAGAGGGTTGGAGTTTTTTACGTTCTCTGGCATTCTCCTTGTTTCGTCTCTCACTCACTTGCTGGTTCTCTCCTCTCTCTTTCTGCCGCGCTTGAACCTTTGAATGCAATGCTTTGTTTAGCTTGATTTTCGAGCAATTGCAACTGTTACATGTGTTTATCTAGAATTTATATGCACATTTTCCCATTATGAATAATTGTCGAGCGGTACGAGATTGAGATTCAGAGTATCGGATAATATAACCAAAGCTCGATCACCGGCACTGTTAAATATTTAGATACTTTTACACACATGGTTAAAGAATGTACCTGCAGATACTTCGATATACAGATGTATGTATCTATATGCATACAATGTATGTTGATGTTAGGATATTTGTATGCAACTTCTTTCCATATTCAGCATCCTCTCAAGACCCCTCCATTTCCCTCTCCCTCTCACACAGTCGTATGGTAACCTCCCATACAGCGTAGCCGACTTAGAGCTCAGAAAACCCTTTCCTCTGTAAACCCTTTCACCACTTGCAATTATTGAAAATGTCAAGGACTATCATCAGCGAGCTTAAAATGAAATAAAAATTCGTTTTGTAATGGCGTTTATTGGTTTTATTAATTATCATGAGCTTTTAGTGGACTGAAAGGCTTACGGCGAAAAGTGGGGCGTTGGGAGGGGAATTTAATCTATGCTAATTGAAAAGGACAGGCACAGCATTGCAAAATAAGATTAATTCCACCTTACACACATTTCCTAGTACACATTTATAAATGTTTGCTTTGTTTATTTTATAAATAGCCATATATTGTATGTCGTATATCATATGGATATGATCCTTGGACCAAAAGAGCACCCCCAAAACATAACATTACCGATTACATGTTCAATATTCAGTATAAGTTAGATTACGTACATATGTATGTATAATATTTTGTTTCTTATAATCTGTGCAATATTTGTACACAATGTATTTATAAAAGTTAAGAAATAACGAATGTAGAAAATCAATAGAAACTAAATATCCTACAAAGGAGAATACCAAAGATCTGCGACTTTAAGTTTAATATCACAAAAATTATTCAAATGAGATGTTATTAAGCGCAAACGAATGAATGAGTCAAGCGGAGGCAGGCATTACAAAATCATAATACATAATACATACAGACTATATAAATATCAATACTTTTTGTTCTTTAGCTATTTGAGTATTTAGGATAGAATATTTAACGCTTGAGTTATGTATATGGAAATATAATTTTCTATTTGTAAATGGTGTATATATTGCTATAGCCACGTTAACCCAGCGCAGCTAATAGCAAAGGCTCCCAGGCCCTATTTGTGTCCATATAGAGCCGATTATACTGCTCGGCCAGAGAGTCACCGTCGTCTAGTATGGTTATTGGAAATAGATCGTTCTGTGAAAGTATAACAATTCGTTATTTCGGAGTAAAGGCTTAATAAGCAACGAGGAACATACATTCTTAGACTGCCAAAGCTGCTCTAGCAACCGCAGAAAACGTTGCATTTCCATGCTGCTGGCAAAAAATATAACCAAATCGTCTTGATTTTCCAAGGGTGCCTCCTGGCAGGAGAACTCCAGTATGCACCACCAAGTCTCGCTCCGCGAGGTTATCTTAATGCCAGTCATCTCTTTGATGTCCGCACAAGTGAGTATGGCTAAGCCGGAGTTCTTTCCGTAAACACTGGTCATTCTTTGCGACTTTCCAGGCGATGCTACAGTTTCTTTTGGAGCTGCAGCCTCGTTTGCTTGCTTAGTGGGCGTGGAGCTCAACGATGAATATGAATGCTGAGTGCCACGCGTTGGCGTACTAATGGTGGAACCCATCTAAAATTTCAAATCAATTTTATTACGAAGTAGGATTTGCTGATCCGATAAGCACACTTACCAAGCTGCTGGTTTCAAAAACACTGAGCATATCCTCCTCAAGCAAGATTTCTTTATCTTTCTTTTCCTGAATAGCTGCTTTGCTATCCGCCTGCTGACATATTTTTCGAAGAGGAGCCGAAAAGTCTTCACGCAGGGTTATTAAATGGTTTTCTGTGACGATTAATGTGCATCCAAGGGTTTTATGGTTCTCTTCTTGAACCAGAATCTAGACACAACAATATCTTGGAAATAAGGTCTTTTAATATTAATTAACTACTTACGCCACTGGCAGATTGCAAAAGGGCCTGGAGCCACTCGGAGGCTACATACTCGTCGGGCGCTGCCATTTGCAGGAGTTCGCCCTTTAGCGTTATCTCGAAGCAGTGGGGGCGCTCTGATTTCATAGTTCGCCGGGCGCCTTGACACTCGGCGAGGGCCATGGCCCAGCTGGGAAGCCTTTGGGTGGAATCGTTGAACATATACAATACGCCAGCTCTAAGAAATGAGCACACATTAAATTTAAATCCTTCAAATAAAGAGGGTTACGAACTTCAGTAAAAAGTATCCTGGTTGCCAATATATTCTGTTCGCCGCTGAAGTGCTGGTGGTCTGCCTAAGTCGTCGGTGCATGAGGAATCCCTTTATTGAGGGTCCCAGCAGTTCGCTTGGCGATTCGACTCTCATAGATCCTCCAGCTGGCACATTAACCACTGCATAGAACATCCAATGTTCTGCTACGCCAACACAGCTGTTGGCACGCACAAAAGCCTGCAATGGAGCCAAATGTTCTAGAGTAAGCTGACCAACTGCAGGCAGGGTAGATCCACTGCGTCGGGCACACAACTCTAGGTTGGCTACCAGGGATCCGGCTGGATACGGACCACCTGCGAGAAGAACCTGCTGCATATCTCGATTGCTGTTGCTAAGCAAAACTGTGTTTCCAAAAGGTCCCATCTAAAAAATATGTTGTATAAACTAACATATCAAAGCGAAGCATCCATTAACATTTACCAGTATGACATCCAAGTCCTTGTACGCCAAAACAAACTTGACACACAGATTATTTCGTTCCATATTCACCACATACAGAGTTTTATCAGTGAGTAGGACAAGTACAGGTGTCATAATGCCATCTACACTGTATCCAGTATACAGTTTGAAAGCCTGAAATGATAACTAGTTTTTATAGCCGTTTCTTATTCTTTTTTAAATCATTATCTACCTTCATAAGCTGCTCATTTGATTGTTTTAGATTGAGCAAGGACTTTCCTTTGAATACATCAATTGAGATCTCCCCTATGCCAAGTTCGAAATTAGACAAGTTGCCTTGGAAATCGTTATCCAAACTAATCGCTAGTTCCCGGCGCGGCGAATTCGTGCCACACATCTCAATCTCCATAGCAATTTCAGCATTTAAGTCATCTATCAACTCGTAGTTCTTTGGCCGCGCACCCTTCACATAGAGATCCGAACCTGTATGCCTTTGTTCTGTTCGCAATTTATCGGCGAAGAAATTGTTCTTGCGTATAGAGGTTTCCATTATTTTCTTTTGCGTGACATTGCGAAGGAACCGATTTATAAGTGAGGTTTTGGCCGCCGGAGCTGGTGGCTTCAGCAAGTGAGCATAGTCGACGTCTGTATAGTCTACGATGACCAAATCGCTGTCCATTGAGCGCG